CGTGGGTTTATAAAAACTTGATTAGTGTAGCCCACCCATCCATCCATCCACATCACATCCATCTAAATATTCGCATTTATAATATTAGTAAGTTATATAAAAAGCAGCTCTTCAAGGCATAAATTCGAGAAAAAAAAAGAATAAATAGTGTCCGTCTCCTGGCTCTAAGCTACCTCCTCACCAATTTTCAATCTTATCGGTAAAGCCGTTCTTGAGTTATAAATAGTGTAACTAACACCACTTTCTTTTATACATATATGTAGATTTTCTCTGTTATTAACTTTAATTTATATTATATTAAAGTAATAAATGATGATAAAGTGTTTTTTTTGCATTTATTTATTTTAAGAATCTTAATTAAAGGAAGGTTAAGCGCTATTATTATTATATACAAAATGGATGGATGGATGTATGTTAGTTTGAAAGTATCACCAGAACGGCTGCATAGATCTCACTGAAATTTGGCATAGATTAAGAACATTGTCTGGAAGAAAACATAGGCTACTTAATACGTTTTTTTTAATTCCGCGCGGATGGAGCTCGCAGCTATTATTTTAACAAACACTTGTGTAGAAGTATCACCCAAATTATGCAGTCCCAAAAGGTAGTTGGTAACTTAAGTTGCTTCAATCAAGGGACAGGAAAGTTTTTAATTAATTCCATCATAAATAATACAACACACCTCAGATAAGATTCTCTTATACAAAGTTTTGATTAACTACTTAATTTTTAAGAGGTTGTGTTAACTTACAAGTGTGTCACTTCTTTACGTAAATTAGTTAATTTAACTTTATAATGAAAAAAAGAACTGCAATATCATCTGAGGTTATGTTCAAAAGATAAATCATCAGCTCACTATACGTCCCCACCGAGGGGCTCGGAACCTACCCTAAGTTAAGGGTGATTAGGCCATAGTCAACCACGCTGGCCAAGTGCGGGTTGGTTGACTTCACACATATCTTTGAATTTCTTCTCAGATATGTGCAGGTTGCATCACGATGTTTTCCTTCACCGTAAGAACTTCGGATAAATGTACATATGTAAAACCGGAAATGGAAAAACACATTGGTACATGGCGGGATTCGAACCCAGGACCTGCAGATTGCAAGTCAAGTGCTTAACCACTGAGCCACCGACGCTCCCAGAAAAGATAAATGCGATTGTTTAATTCCTATAAGAACAATTATTATAACTTTCGGTTAATAATATGTCGGATATCTCACTTTTTACTAATATTATAAATGCAAATGTTTGGATGTATGGATGGATGGTTTGGTAGATGATACTTTTTAACAATCATTCATCGGAACGGCTCAACTTATTTTGATGAAATTTATAAATGTATAACACAAATGCTATTTATTAATAGAGAAATATATCAGACATAATATTAATATGAACCCATCTGCGACTGTCCGGGTACTTTCTCCGGACAGCGCGGTCCGGATAATTCCGGACATTAGTATGGATGGAAACAAGCTTTATTTCGACTAGAAAACTTTATCATACCCTTATCCTTTTATAAGTCTTGCATTTATCTATATTACAGTTGTATTCGTATTGTTTAAAATTATAATTTGAAAGGGAATAACAAATTACAGGAATATTATTTAAGAAATAAAATATTTATGTATATTCCAGAGACCATTTAACTAAATATTTATAAATATTTAAAAGTATGAATCTTACAAAGTTTACTATCACTCTATTACAAGTGTACAATAAGCCGCTTTGTTATCTCATAAGCTTGAGTACTAATACACTGGGAAACATGAAAAACAAAGCACTCGGTCATAATACGAGCTCGGGAAGTGGAATGTTGCGGCTTAGCTCCGATTCCCGTCATATCCCGCTCTCAAAATTCAATAGCGAAATGCGCTTTCCTACTGGCAGCGGTAATACCGTGTAATCCCTCCCGACTGCCCGGTATGCGATGACCACTCGGTTATACAGGATGATTGCATATTAACTTTGTTTCGCTAACAATGTACAATCTTACTAATATTATAAATGCATATGTTTGCATATAGGGAAGGATGGATGTTTGTTAGGAAGTATCTCTAAGGTGACTATATAGATCACCCTGAAATTTCGCATAGGAGTCGTGAGCGACAGCTTGTATTTTAAATAAATTTGAAAGCTTAAAGAATCGTGTTTGAACAGTTTGTGTTTTTTATTTAAATTCATTATTATTATATTAAATGATCTTTGTTTTATATCCATTTGCAAATTGTATCGGTCCCCTTGCACTGTATATTTTGTTTGGGACGTGACGCGGCATAACTCTCGCGCATTTCCAAACAAAATGGCGGCTTATGACGCGCACAAACCTTTTAGGCGCGAAATTATATTCGGTCACGAATAATGGATTTATTGTTTGATAAATACATTTATATGATTTCGTTTCATATTAATTGTGTTTATATTTGCAATTATGCATAAGTATTTATGTTTTTACAACTTAATAATCTCAATATCTTTCCGTTGAATATTATGACATTTTATGTTTTTAAATTTGTTTTTAAAAATGATGAGTTGCCAGTCTTTTTGTACAAAATTAATAAAACCTTTATTCATAAAAATGTTCAGAATTAATATTCATATTAAAGTTAGGGCGCTACACAATGATCTTTGGAAAGAATCTGCAAAATACGTCGGGGATATTTCAACTAAACACTGTCATTAGCTCGTATTATCTGCTGAGATGATTAATTGGCGGCACTTAGCAATTTGTGTCAAATCACCGCTGACGCTTTGTTCAGTTTGCGAATTATGGATACAATGGACCCTTAACACTTACAAGAAAAATATTACCTAAATTAATACACAAAATTGCCAATCATGGAAAATAAAAGAGAGGTTTTCACAAGCTACAGAGAAAATAAAAACTAGCTTCTTCCATACTTTTAACAGTGTTACTTCGCTTTTATGTTATTTAGTGAAATCTACTTTTAGCAATGATAAATCCGTAGTTAATTGTTTGTATATTAATTAGTTTCTATATGTCTGGTTATTGTAAAACCAGACAAAAGATATTTAACAAAGGTATTATGACTATTGACTTACGAATACAATAGGAATTATCAAATCTACACACAGACAGACAATCACGCTATCTAATAGTATGTTAATTAATAATATTTTCAGACTTCAATTACTATGACCTTGATATTAATGTACTTTATAATATTTATAACAATAATTTGTTTGGATCATCTGTTTCAGTGCAAATGAAATAACGTATATGAAAGTCGCGTGCTTCTTAATTTCAACATAACCTCAAAATTCATGACTCAGGGTACAAGGCAGATTTTAAATACTTAGCACCTTTCCCACCATTACTAAAAAGTAAAATACCTATAAAGTACGAGTAGTTAAAGATGAAATTATAGTGTTCATTATTAATTTTATAATAGTATTTTTAAGCTCAATTTTGTAGATTGATGAGGAAATGGCATGGTGTTAAAAATGCCTCTTCTAAGTTCTATTTCAAAATGTGGTCACTGCCATTCAACAATCATTACAAAAGTTATAAATAACAGCCACTTAAGCAACGCCTGGTAATGACACTAGTAAATAACACTGACCTCGGTTGACCGTTCGATAGTAATCTAATGTGAAAATATATTTTTTTGATTATTTGATTGCTAATGCTGAGAAAAAGCATTACAATATGCCTGATATTGTAATGCTTTTTGTTTTAATTTGTTGACAAATATTATGCGCTATACCTTTTATGTTTATTCCTATACTAGTAGTTGCCCGCGATTACATCCGCGCGGAAAAAATCATAGTAGGCTATGTGTTCTTCCAGACTATGTTCTATATCTATGCCAAATTTCAGCGAGATTAATTGAGCCGATCTGGAGATAACTGCGAACAATCATACATTCATCCATCCATGCAAACATTTGCATCTATAATATGAATAAGATTGATTACTAACCTAACATCAAAAGTTAATATTAGTTACTATGAGGAACTGACGAAAATATAGTGCTCTCCTTTTTTCATATAGTATGAGAGAGATGTTAATATTTTCTTTGTACAGATGTAACGACCATGGATACTCATGGTTATTATGAATTACTTTTGTTGAACTTGTGAGATTAGTTCTAGATGGTAAATGAGTTTTCTTTCTGTGTTAACTTGGGAGATTATTAATGTTAGTTCCCAGGATAGAGTTGGACCGTTGTATTGTTTACCAGTCTAGCCCTTTTGTTGCTTCCACTGACTGGCCTTAGCATAAGTTTTTACGAACTTTTACCTTTACTATACTATGAGTTTTCATATATGTAGGCTTCATATTTATCTATAATACATAAATTCTATTAATGATAGTTTAAATGAGCTATTTTACATATACAAATATTGATATGCACTTCTTAGTGTTCTGCTTAAAAATTTGTGCAGTTTTTGACGGAAATAATACGCTATTAGACTTCAATGGTAAAGTAAATATGTTTATAATTAGCACACGTAATAGCAGACAATTTAAAATGAGCATTAAATGGAAAAATGTCTATTTCGAGTAAAACGATCAGTCTGTCTATCTGTTCAGTCAGTCAACGTGAAAATTTAATAGCAAATAGTTATTTCTGTTCGCAGCCCCTCACCTGGTCAGCTTCAGTGCTGGTCTGTGTATTGATATGTCAGATTACTGCAGGATTATTTACTGAAATGAGATATTTTAAGAACACGATTTACGATTTTATCAAGCGACATATTTTTGGTTGTAACCGGCAAATGAGCACATACTTAGTTGACACCTAGGCATTAGCAACTTCTGTTTAATTTTTGAATACAATAACACCATTATTCACGCCTGTAAACCATAGGGGTAGGCAGAGACTACCGACATCCATTTGTGGTGGCTCCTTTTGGAAACTTTGTCACTATATTTATTTAACAAAAGAGAGGTTAAAAAAACAAGAGTGAAATATGTTAGTATTTCTAAAAAGAGTGTATTAATTAATCAAAGTAAACTCAATTGTCTGCAGGTATGGTGGTGAACGGTTTCGTTAATGTGGTGATCACAACGATAGAGAAGCGGTTCGGTCTCCGCTCCATGCAGACCGGTGTCATCGCTGGCGGGTAAGTTGTCATAAACATTACAAACTCGATCGTCGATGGACAAAATGGTAGACTTAGTAGTAGGTAGACTTATAAAGCAGACATTTAGTCAATCAGTATTTCCCTAAATGTGTTCTCATTGTCACCAGATACGACATGGCGTCGTTTGCGTGCCTGGCACCGGTGACGTACCTTGGAGGGCGCGCAGGCAGCAGTAAGCCACGCTGGTTGGGCTGGGGCGTACTGCTGATGGGCGCTGGCTCGCTGCTCTTCGCCCTTCCCCATTTCCTCGTGCCGCCCTACAGGGTGGCGGGCGACGAGCCTGAGGACCTCTGCACACTGAATAAGACCGTTGTTAGTTAATATTGTATTTTTAATTATCCTGTTTCCAGGACAATTATATGCATGCTTTTGTTCAGACGAACAGAACTTTGGAATTAAAAATAAAAAAGGTAAAAACGATCAGTGAACGTTTGAGACTGAATTTTTCATTTATCGCAGAAATCCTGTTGCATAAAAGCTGTTTGGCGCGCATTCTATACATTCTAGCTGTCACACGGCTTGTAAAAATCGTTTATGCCATCGGAATAGCTGCCTCAATAAGTCTAAAGGGCTCCGAGCTGGTATTGTAAGAAACCGGTTCAAATACGTCGCTGTGTACGCGGGAGGTCCTTGTCTTTTGTGCAGAATTTTAATTTGTCGTTTAATTTTATACGCACAGGAATGTTATCAAGGTTATAATGAATATCATCGATACTTCTTTGAGCAGTTTACTGCGAGTATATTTATTTTTTCTAATAACTTTTGATTTCCTACGTCATATTTTATAAGACTTAAAGAATGACAGCTTAATTTTATTGGTTACATATTGGCAGAGGATTTAATTACGTATACATTTTAACAATAGCTAAATAACATTTCTATTGAAGCGTAGTTAATGGCGGTAGCTATTTTTTAATGTTTTAATTGATGTAATTGTTCTTGTAGTCAGTGAGCCGATGCGAGACGTCGTGGGGCGGTGAGGGTGGCGCGTGGGCCGTTGCAGTGTTCGTGGCTGCGCAACTGCTGCACGGCGCCGGCGCTACGCCACTTTTCACCCTCGGCGTCACATACATAGATGAGAACGTCTCCAAGAAGATGTCCTCAGTATACCTTGGTAAGTCGATCGATACTGATTGCTATACACTATAGGATAAGCAATTTTTAGAAACAAGAGTTTGCAGAAACTTTACATGAATTAAAAAGATAGTTTGTAGCCAATTATGAAAATCATTCAGAAATTCACGTAAAAAGGTTAACGCGCATTCGTCAACTTCTTTTCTACAAACCCATATAACGATACGTTATTCTCGCCTGCACGTTACAAATCTCTATCCCGTACAATCGGCGAAAAATGCGCGTTAACCTCAAAGCTCCTCAACATACGCAGTCCAATTTGAAACAGAGTAATTCAAAAGCTACTGTACTCGCCGTATACCCGTTTCTTAGTTCGTCTAGCCACGCTAAAGTAGCTTTTATCATAAGTAATTAAATGTCACATTACAAGCATAAGTACTATAGCATTATGGTCGTTGTCATTATGGCTGGTACACGGGAAAGCTCTCTCTGCAGCTGTGGCTGCAAAGTGCTCGCGATGTACCTTTTATATTAACGTCTCTGAGAAAAATGTCACATACAGAGTCCTGATATTATAACGTTTAAAGGCCAAATTACCAGAAATTAACTTTTAAAGCTCTCCTTTCTTCCTACTTACCTTTTTGTTTTTTTTTAATTATTAAAAGTTACATAAAATAAATAATAAATAAATAAATAATAAACAATAATATAAGAACGTATTAGCGTGCTATAACGTATAATAATACGTCATAAGTAATATACAATAGCAACTCGATATCGTTGTATTGAAAACACAGCCCTCAATTTTGTCACTTTATAGATTAAACATGAAGAAACACTAGCCCTTTTTATATTACTTCCGTAATAGGGGTGCGACAAACGGAGTATAAGTGTCGAACACGCATTAGGCATGTAGTGTACTCTTCACACCCCTGACATTGTCCCAGGCTCGACATCGACACAGAATCTGCGGTAGAGGTTGCACTGTACTATTTCTTAGAACCCTTCACCCGCTCGTTGTTTTCTCAGCTAAAAGCCACTACTGATCACTAAACCTTGATGCACAGTTCTAGCGATAATACTTAGCTATGTTTAAGATTTTTATAAAACAATGCAGTTAATTTTGATATTTATAGTTTTAGAATATATTCTGTAAATTCGAGCGGTATTTACAAAGATGAAATGATATCATCTCTCTCCTTATAGCATTCGACCGGCAAATTGTACTAACGTGAAGGCTTCAATTCATGTAAATAGCTTGCTTTTATACTATATATATTTAAATATAATTGCTGGCAGTGTACTACAGCCCTCACCCGCATCTCTCGATACCTCAAGAGGCACACATTGCGCCCTGAACGAGCCCTCCCATGAGCCTCTGCCCTCTCGCCCTCAATGGCCGGAAGTGGCTGTGTGGCAGTGAGAACGGCTAATGGCATTTCGATTTGCCACTACACAACGTACTCTTATGTTCCATTTTTAAACTTTTCCTTTGATCGATTTCTTTGTTTTGGATACTCAAATGGATTCATAACATTACATAACTTTCTTTCTTGGGCCCTATGATATTTGCTTTTATTTTCATTGTTTTTTTTAATTTCAATCGCTCATAAAACACTGTCCGCATATATTTTTCTTTATTGACAAACATCTATCACAGAAGAAACAATTAATTCTAATTTAAGACTACAAATTAAACGAACCCAAAATGCTTAAAATGTTGTTTACTGATATTACAAATGTACAAGAGTAACCGGTATTCTGGTAACTCAGTCTAAACATAAACAATAAGCTATTAAAAATTGTCTGAAGACTTTCTGACACTTTGGTATAAGTGCTAAGTTCCATTTAGTGCATTCTGGGTCGCGACCTCGCCTCACAGCGCTTCACTCAGGTAGTACTTAAATTTAGACTCTTACAAAAACCTGGCTGACACTGTTACTTCAAACCTACTATGTCAGCCATTTAATAAAAGAAGAAAATAAATTCTTACGCCGTGAATAATTTTTTATCGTAGTTATTTTAATATGGTAGTAAGAAATATTTTAATAATTTATCTATTTACTATTGAATAATTTACAAACATTCATTTTGTATCCAAATGTTTAGTAAGGGTTTATTTATAATATAACAATATGTTAGTAAAACACTGGAGATTGTTTTGAAACCTGAACTGAGTTTGAAACTCATTTAATATGTTGCTGTACAAACCGCACGTCGCTCCGGGTAGCGATTGACATCGTATAGGAAATCCAATGCAGTTCCGCGGTGCACATTCTATTAACAACATGTCACATGACGCGTCTCCATTGCAACAACTTTCTGATCAATCAGAATTGTCAAATAATTGAAAAGGCATATAATAGTGTCATCTTTGGTTATTTTTATAATTTTAACAAACCTACGACAACTAAATCTTAATTAAAAACACTTATAAGCTTTTTTATGCATTTTTTATTACTTGTCTTCTTGAAGATACTTTTAAACCACCCTAAAATTAGGCAGACCAAAATTTGAAGCTTGTTCAAACACTTCAATATATCGTAGGTATTTTGAATGCGTTCCCAAAGCAAAGAGTTGACAATGAATGTGTAGCAATCAGAGCACAACGGTCGACAGGTCTTTGACCAGGCACTCCTGCCGCTCCCACGGGACCTGCCGCAAACACCACGCCCTTCAGTGCTCACGACGTGCTTTATAAAACTCCGTTCTTTTATGCGTAGTTGTCTATGTTTGGATTTTATGCAGTGAATATTTTGTCTCGTTTAAGCCCACGTTTAACTTCCTTATATCATTTGGATTCATAGGTGTATACTACACAATGGCAGTAGTCGGCCCAGCGGTGGGCTACGTGCTCGGTGGGCAAATGCTCAACATCTACACGGACTTCCCAACAGTTGATTCTGACACGTAAGTATTGCATTGCAGTTTGTACCAAAAATATACGTGAAGGTGAAGAATAGTCACACACCGCACTGGTATTATCTGTTGCGGGCGGTTGTTCGCGTATTTTAATATTTCATCTCGGCAGCGACGGGGCTTCATTCAGCCAACTTACCCTCTCGCTTTCATCTCATTGTCCCGGGCAACTTTTCAGCCGAATTAATTCCACCGTTTCATATACTTCCACGGCTTCCGCAACGAAATATGATTTTACGCGCAGCCGAGCTCTCGACGAGCTCTTTGATACGGTTTCACTTTTAAATGAGTCTAACAACTTTCCGATAATCAACGGGTTTGTTTACGCCTGTTAGCTGACGTCTCCCCGGCACAGGTCGATTCCTGCTACTTTTTTATTACATTAATATGAGGCCATAATAACGTTTGTAGTTATTCACGGTCGTGGTTGTGAACATGGTTCATAGTTATTATTATTCCTTAAGTTAATTTTCTTTGTACAATATCAATTCTCGTTTCCATATTGATTAGGCGCGTCCACAGTTATTCGGATTGTTTGTGTAAGTGCTATCCAAATAGCAGCCGATCGACTTTGGACAAATAACCCGGAAGTGTTGGGAAGTTTGGATCGCAGCAAACCCTCCAATTATCATACGAAAACGACTTTAATGTATTCGACGGCAGATATTTCAATGGTCGAAGCCGTGGAGCCCAGGGCCTACAACTTTACTCTCTATTGCCCCTAGACAATATTGTTCTGCAATTTATGCGATCCTGGTACTTTTTAATTAAATCCGGATCGCGGCTGTTAAAACTTATTGTATTGTTATTGTTATATCAAACTCTGCTTTAACCGTTGCTAATTAAAACCAATTGTTTTTAATGATTTTGACGAAATGGAACTGTTACTTCCATTTATATTTTTTGTATTTATGAAATTCTTTGATAGTAGATTCTAGTACTTTTTCACATCAATTTCAACGTAATTTTATCGTGATTATTAACTTGTTACGACCTTCAGGATCGGCATAACGCCGCAAAGTTCTGTGTGGATTGGCGCTTGGTGGGTGGGCTTCCTGCTGTCGGCGCTGCTTTGCCTCGCCGTCGCTCTACCGCTGCTCGCATTCCCCCACGAGCTGCCAGGTATGTATGGTCACCAGGACATCATACCTGTCAGACATCACACGTGCATGTCTGCGAACTGCAGCCATGATAAACTGCTCCCTTCGCTATTAGCTTATAGGACGAATGCGCACAATAATAACTAGGTCGCATCACTTAGTTCAACATGCTAAGAAGACGATTCGAAATGCTATAGAATTTATGTTCATTTAAGTCTCCAACCCAATATTTAAGTATTTTATTGTTATATTATTGGTCTACTTAAAGAGTACTAACAATCATTGTATTTTTAGGCGCGGCAGAAATCCAGGCGTCCAAAGTGTGTGAGGCACACGAGGGCGCGGCGTCCAAATGCGCGGCGTTTAGCAGTCTGCGCGAGCTGCCCGCGGCCGCCGGCGCCCTCATGCGCAACCCAACCTTCGTGTTCCTCAACCTGGCAGGCGCCAGCGAAGGCATGCTCATCTCGGGCTTCGCCGCCTTCCTGCCCAAACTCATCGAGAATCAGTTCGCCGTCAGCGCCTCTCACGCCGCTTTGTTGCTAGGTAAAAGAAGAGATTAATTTTGAATTAATTGTCTAGAGGAGAAGATGATACGAGAAATGAGGGACAGTATAGTTCAGTAAATATTTCAAAGTTTGTGTGGTCTGCTTCTCATCAGGAGTGATCACGGTGCCTGCTGGCGGCGGGGGCACGTTCGCGGGCGGGTGGTTGGTGAAGCGATGGCGGCTGGCGTGCGCGGGCATCATCAAGCTGTGTGTGGCGGCCACGCTGCTCGCCGCACTCTTCACCTTCTCCTTCGTGCTCTCATGCGACGACTATCCCTTCGCCGGCGTAACCGTGCCCTACAATAGTCCCTCTATTTCAGGGTCAGTTCGTACTTATATCAGAGTTCAATCCTTTATTCCAAGGCCACTTCCTCTTAGCTAAACTATCGTTTAGAGAGGCATTTTATCTATAGTGGATGTCTTCTGGGTTGGGACTTTAACAAGTGGATGGTACACACGAATATTGCGTGTAGTATAAAAAGGGCTCGTCGACAAGTGCAGTGCATCGTGTATTAGCTAACAATGGAGTCATCGCGGCGTCCGACACGCGCCACTGCATCTCAATACGCGATAACAGTCGCCGACGCTCACGGCCGAAATCATTGTGTTCAATCGCCGGCCACAATCACTCAAATCAACTTCATTCATTTATTATTCACGTTGCATTATGTATAAATATGTCGATATTATGTTACTTTGTTCTCAAGGAGTTAAAATACAAATGTTTATGTAACTAAAGCGATAATTCGTTTACGTATACATTTAAAACTGATTTAATTACTGAAGAAAATATGTATATTAAACAGAGACAGCGTGCTATTAGCGCAGTGTAACTCTGTGTGCGGGTGCGAGGACGCACCGTATGCGCCGGTGTGTGGACGCGACGGTCTCGTGTACTACTCGCCGTGTCACGCCGGCTGCCGGACAGTGAGGCGCGAGGGCGCCGCACAGTTCTACACAGACTGCAGCTGTCTCAACTCCACAGGTACACGCAAACTGGATATTTGACCTGTATCCTGTGCCGCTACAGGGCTGTCGCTTGCTAGGTAGCCATTTGCATAGAGTGTAATTGTCTCCACTAGACAGTTAGGGACATCCCTCGCTTATTGTGCAAAGTTGTCGTCACAGAAGAATACTTAGTAATTTATTTCCAGAAGGTAACTCGTCATTGCCGTACGAGGCGATCAACAGCGCGTGCAGCTCGGCGTGCCCGTACCTGTGGGTGTTCGTGTTCCTCGCCTTCTGCGTCATGCTGTTCACCTTCCTCGCCACCATGCCCGCGCTCTCCGCCACGCTGCGGTAACAATATAATCAAGTTTATATACTTTACATTTTGTAACTTTGTTTGTTGACTTGTGCTTTTCACCATAGCTGTGTACGAGAAGACCAGCGGTCCTTCGCGCTGGGCATCCAGTGGATCAAGGTGCGGCTGCTGGGTACGATCCCCGCGCCGCTGCTGTTCGGCTTCCTCATCGACCTGTCCTGCTCACTGTGGGAGCCCGCTTGTGACTCCACCGGCGCCTGTCTACTCTATGACAACTATAACATGAGCAGGTAACCGGGAATCTCTACTTTATCTAATCATAGAGTACTGTAATATTACTATTCTTGTCATTCTCTTAAAAAAAGAGATAGCAATTATGCTTAGCACTAATGAGTATCATAATTTAAAGTCTCGGTAACACCCCACCAATTTTCCTCCTCTATATTTTTTCTTAACAAATCTTTCTAATTAATATTTTCTTTATTTCCAGATACATGTTAGCGTTGGCTCTAGTTGGCAAGCTTTGCTCTCTGGTGTTCTTTTTCTTAGCGTGGTGGTTCTACAGACCGCCGGGTGGTAAGAGTGGCAACGGCGTGGTGCCAGCTATCGACCTGCTCGTTACTGACAAACGTAATGGCACCAATGGACCACACACTATATCGACAGACAACGGTCTCAGTCTCACACCCGGGATTGTCAATGGTGTATCTCACTCTAATGGATATTGTAATGCGGCGTTAGAATGTAGTGATCATTTATAGATGAAGGTAGAAATTCTCGAAAACTACTGGAATAATACAGTGGGTTTCTGAGACTAAAATCCACGTTTTTGAAACATATTCTCTCTGTTTTATCAAATATAATGAAAAGGGTTAACGATAAGTTTTATACAGAGATTTCGGTCTTCGAAACGAATGGTTAGTGGTCTTATTTACACCGAGTCATGTATGTAGTATTTGTATCAATTCTCAATCTATGTGGTTACGCTAACATTGTATATATTATTTTACGTTTGATTTACTAACAGAAGATGCTAAATTATAAAGCGATCATAATAATTGTTCAAAATAGACTGAGCAAGGCTGCTGAGAAATTTTCAACGAATTTGAGAAGACCAAAACATAAAAATAGGATTACCTTTTGAAATAATTAAATACTCGAATATTTTGATACTACAAGTAAAGAATAAATTAACCAGAAACACCAAACGCCACAACTGCTTACTAAATGATAATTCGATATGACGCTATATTAATTTAATAGTCCTTCGAGTCGGATATATGCTGTTTAATAGGTGATTTTCACAGGGCAAGTTTGTTAAATACAAAACAAATTAACAGACAAGCTGTTTTTCAATGATTCTCTTGTACTGTGCCAGTACAATACAAGCTCATATGAATTAAGGTTGAGGTTATGTTTGTTAAGTGACAAAGGCTAGTGCGCACGCGCATCACTTCTAGTAATATAATATTTAAAAAATAGAGTACAATCGTGAAGGCACAATTTTGATACATATATTTAAGATTTCTCGATTCCTCTCTTCGGTGTAGTGTACAGAGTTTTTATAAATTATTTGTTGATTTTATTAAAATTAATTTTGTAAATATTTTCACAATTTATTATAAGTGTATTTTCGGTTAAAGACTGATTGTTTGGTAGTATACACATTACACGTTGAACTACGTCTTAGTTTAAGATAATTTTTTGGATTTTTTTGTAAACTGTTACTGATATAAGTCACCCTGAATGATTTCGATGTTTTTTAATCACTTCACAGTAAAAACTCAATTTTCTAACAATATAATAAAATTAATAATATTTGATGTTTTTATACATTTTATAAGTTTAGCAATTTGTACAATTAAATAGCATAATATTTGAATGATTTTGATGTTGTACAATTTTACAGTTATTTATATCAATAAAAATTAAATAATTAAGAAAAGTTTTTTTTTATTATCCAACCCTAATTTCTATCTGTATCACTAAAATCATGTTAGTTAACAGTTAAATAGTTGTACCGAAATTGCGCACTTGGTGCATAAATTGCGCAACATGCGCGCAACACAGTACTGCGCAACATGCGTGCAACACAGTACCGCGCAAAGTGCGCACATATTGCGCGCGGCACTGTGTACTTGTACCATTGTTTTTAATTGCCGTGTAAACTAGTACACTCTAAACAAATATGCGAATCAACAAGATTAAATCTTATCAGGTATATAATATGACCTATTTACTTCTTGGAACTCTGTTTAAATATTTATTAAATAAAGTGGTACATATAAAAACCTTTATAAAAAATATGAAGCAATATATTTCAACATTACAAAATTACAACTTAACAAAGTGCATTCAACATTTCCTTAGCGACATTAAAATGTACTCACAATAATACATTAGGGACCGTATTAACATTTATATGTATTCAGAAGAACTTGACACCTTGGTTATCATCAAACTCCATTAGCTCACATCTGCCTTTCACTTCTAAAGCCTTTAGCGCTTTTATTAGTACATTCATGTCTAATCCATGGAACTCTGAAAAAATAATTAAAATCATCTAAACAACATTTAATATCTCTTTATCTTTCTTTATATTACTATATTGTTCTTACTTTAAGACATTACTAGTATATCTTGTTAACCAAATAGGATTATTATAATTAACTTCAAGTAATCTTTCTAATATTACAAATACCTTTGGATGGAGGGGTAAATACATTGAATGGATCTCGAATTTGACACAGATGTAAAACAAAGCCTTGAAGAACACATAGATTACTAATCAAGTTTTTTTTTAAATACGCAAGGTCAGAGTCGCGGGCGACAGACAGTAAATTTATAATTACCTTCACCAACAGTATTATCACCTTCTCTTATTTCAAATAATGTGCATACAGTATTATTTAGGCCATTACTGCTCGCCCAATTGTATAACATGTTGCCCCATTCATCCAACGAATGCCAGTACACCTCCCATACATTTTTACTTTTATCCACCGGAGCAGCTCTACCTGTTTTCCCCATTTCTTCTAATATTATTAATAATGATTCTTGTGATAACTTTCTATTTATAGTAGCATTATTAAATAGTGGACAGTTCTGTGATTCTCTTACATCTATGGTTGATTGTTTTGTTGTTTTAAGATAGTCTGTTATTAATTGTTGCCATGCTTCTAATTGTTTCGCTCTTGTTTCCGCGTGTGGTTGAATTCTAAAACAAGAGACAGATATAAATTAAATTGAACTAAACAAGTTTTTGAAAAATGAGCGTCGGTGGCTCAGGGGTCAAGCACTTGACTTGCAATCTGCAGGTCCTGTGTTCGAGTCCCGCCATGTACCAATGTGTTTTTCGATTTCCGATTTACATATGTACATTTATCCGACGTTCTAACGGTGAAGGAAAACATAGTGATGCAACCTGCACATACCTGAGAAGTAATTCATATATGTGTGAAGTCAACCAACCCTCACTTGGCCAGTATTGACTATGGCCTAATCACCCTTAACTTAGGGTAGGTTCCGAGCCCCTCGGTGGGGACGTATAGTGAGCTGATGATGAATAAAAAAAAACAAGTTTTTTAGAAGACATTTTTGCAGGACTATTAATTATCTTTTGATTTCAAACAAAACACTGTAAAAACTTGCTCCATATATTTTGAAACAACTCCTAAATGCATTGCTCCTATCGGAAGGCAAATAAATAAGTAGCAATTGTCAATCATTTGCACTTAAAAATAAAGTATATAACGTCCATAATAATACTTACGAAGTTATTTTGATGTTAATGCAATCTTTGCATAGATTTCAAGCAACTTTTTCTCTGTTTCAATTCTCTTATGTAAGACTTTAGCAGGTTTGGGCTCTAAATCTGTCACACCCACTTTATATGCCATCTTTCTTTCCCCTATAGTCACTTTGGGGTATTCATTGTTAATATTTGTTGTGAAACTTAACATTATAGAACAATCCTTTACGATAGCTGATATTAAAGCTAAGTATAATGGATTCCAAGTGAAGAAAATCTTTCTGTGATCTGCATTTGTTAAATCAAGGTTTTGTGTTTCAATTTCTTTTAAAATTTCCATTACATAATCTAATTTATCACATATGCCTGGTGTGTATGTAAACTTTTCTGATAGCCTTTGTAAATCAAGAAGTTTATATAAAAATGAATTATTTTTTAAATTGTTACCGTCTCTACAATATTGGCTTTTGGTTAAAGAATTTTCATTAGTGGGCAACACAGTTATATCTGATTTACCATCACTGAGTAATATTTGTATTATAAAGTCTAAAAATAAATTAACTGAATTACCAAACACATCTAATTCTTTTAAGACTGTTTCAAAATTTTGTTTTGTTATATTTTCGTTATAAATTACATTTGCATTTTTAAAATTTTTTAAATTATTCTGTGGATTATCTATTAAACTTTTTAATGCAAATTTCATTCTGTCTGTGTCACCAGAAAAAAGATCCAAAGGGCAATAATTACTAACATGTTCAATATGATTCTCATTTAATTTTAGATATTGTTTCATACAGTAATAACATTTTGAATATTCTTTTAAGCTGTTTGCTAGATATCCCTCCTTTGGTTTGATCTCTATGCAAAAATTATCCGCATTAGATATGACCATAGTTAAATTAGGTGCTTTAATTGCAGTTGCCATGATCCTAGATTTATATATTCTATTTTTAGGTCGAAACTGGTGTAAACTTTTCGTCAGCTCTACAACTTCCTCTGTAGAAATTTCAACTATCTCTTCCTGATATTTTCTATCATAAAATATTAATGGGATCATGACTGAGTTAACAAATTCAACTGATTGAGATATATTGGCTTTTTTAGTCTTACAAATGTCTTCTTTTATGAGACGTAGGACGTAATCACTATCCAAGATTTGTAGAACGATGTGGACGTTTCCTTCATTGACATATTTCCAGGGATGTACGTCAAAACTCATTTCGAAAAGTAATAAACACTTAGCGGCAATAAAATAAGTTTACTTACGTAAAAAAGGGAGGAAAATTATACTGCCATGGCCAGGTTATCTCCGTCATCTCTTAATAGTTTTGATATAAAGCTTTTGTATTCCACTTTAGGTTCCAATTTAATTTCTTAATCTTATTTTTTCTTCGTCAATAATTTGCTATTGGTATCTATCATATGACATTGACAAGTCGTGGTATGATGTCATACTTCTTTAACATTCTGTCAAAGTAAATTTCGTTAAATGCAATATTCAGAAAATAAAATTTGTTGCGTTTTTAGTAGGATATTTAATTATTAACTTCTTTCAAAATATTAAGCATTACTTCTGATATATTTTGTTAATTTAAAATTAAAAACAAATAGCCTTTAAAAAACAAATCATTAGTTTAGTGTTATGGCAATATTAGTTTTGTTTGTGGGTGTGACAATGCGTTGACAATGACAATTGACATTGACAAATCGAACAGAATTGCATCTCTGCGCCCTGCATTGAACATTTGAAGAAAAGATCTGGTTCTTTTAAATTTGCACATATTTATATTTTAAATCTGTCCTCATGTGCTAGTAATAGAATAAATTGATAATACAAAAACTTAGTCACTAGAAATAAAATGATTACGCTTAATAGAAAATTTAAGAAAGAAAACCCTGAACCCACAAATGGTGTTACTGTAGATGTGCCCAAAAGAATATCGGTAAGGGATAAATTGCTCGTCAAGGAGGTGCAAGAAATGAACGAGAACCTCCCTACGACGTGCTCAGTGCACTTTGAGGATCCGAACGTTTTGAGCGAGTTTATTCTGACCGTGACCCCTGATGAAGGCTACTGGCTGGGGGGCAAATTTAAATTCAGTGTGTTCGTCACCGAAGACTATAATATGGCGGTAAATATACATGTTATTTAATAAACGTCGTGGTATTATTATAGTTGAATTGTGTTTTTATACCTAAAAATTTGTATTATAATGTCTTACGTTATTTTTTTATTAAGTTTCGTAATTAAAATATCAAAATCAAAAAGCTAGGGTATTCAGATCAACTAAAATGTTTTTATGTTATTTATAAATAATATCATCAACTGATTCTATCCTGTTTGATAGTAGTTGAAACCGATTAACACTTCCAATGTTTTTTTCACTGCAGCCCCCTAAAGTGAAATGTCTGACACGGCTATGGCATCCCAACATTAATGTAGATGGAGACATCTGTCTGTCCCTGCTAAGACAGACTTCTATTGATGAGCATGGCTGGGCACCTACAAGACGTCTAAAAGATGTTGTCTGGGGTCTTAATTCACTTTTCACAGTAAGTATACCTTTAGTAAAACTTACATTACAAAGCCATAATTTCTGCTAACCTTAAACTCTTTTTTGTGCTTCAACTGTTTTGGCACAGACCATTACTTTATATTGTTTTAAACATAATGAAATGACTTAAACATAGTGATGTGTAGAATAAAGTGTGTATCATCATCATCAGCTCACTATACATCTACCCTAAGTTTTAGGGTGATTAAGCCGTAGTCTACCACGCTGGCCAAGTACATGTTGGTTGACTTCACACATATCTTTGAATTTCTTCTCAGATATGTGTAGATTGCATCACGATGTTTCTCTTCACCGTAAGAATGTCGGATAATTGTGTATGAATAAGCTTTATTATTAAGTCAGTGTACAGGAACCCAAAAAGCTCCGGGACCCTTGATAATAAATGATACAAAATCGGTCGGGTGGATGAGTCGTTTAATTAGCGTTAAGCGCAATCACAACAAAACAGTAAAACAAAATGCTAGCGTGCTTTTAAATAGCGCAGCGCCATCTAGTTCTTTTAGAACGAAACTTATATTTTTATAAACATTGAACTTTTTATTTGCTCGTGAACAGTCAGAAACAACAATAATAAATAAATTTATATGAAGTAATAATTATAAATGTTATCCATATACTGGCACAACATATACATAAATATAACACTCATTGTCGTCTTGTTAATTGCTCCTTTTATCACTAAAGTTAGGTCTCTGTGGCATTTATCAGGGCTAATAAAGCAAGCTTTAAGCACAAGTATGCATTGTTGTGGTATATGTTACTAAGAAACTTTTTCTATTTTAGATTATTGCTTTGGGACATTAATTTCAATTTATTTAATTTTTCTTGATTTGTTATCTATCAAAAAATGTTATTTATTACTAACAAGCTGTCCCCCGCACCCTGGCAGAATTTATTAAACTGTGTTCTATATGTATGCCAAATTTTCAGTTGTTCTGGAAAAACCTTCTTACTTAGTTATTTTCCTTTTTATTAGGCTATAAAATCCAGGTTTATTCCAGATGGACACAGTCATAAGCTAGTTATTGTTTAAAATCGAAATTAATTGAATAATGTGATGAAAACAAGTCAATTATAACGAGTGTACCTTCTTTGATGTTTCCAGGATCTGTTAAATTTCGATGATCCTCTCAACATAGAGGCTGCGGAGATGTACAAACAGAATAAGGTTGAGTTTCAAGTGAAAGTGCAGCAGTATATAGCAACATCGAAGGGGAAGAGATGAGGAATGCATAACTGGCGATCACAACCAACAAAGAAATAGCGGAATTGATGACAAATGGTTTAACATTATGATCTTCTTGTTAACACTTTTAATGCCACTGATACACTCTGCAGTATGTTATAATATTTGTGGTATTCAATGTTTTTATTAATGTTAGGTTGAAAATTGTATTGAAAAACAGTCCATTGCTAAAAATATGTGTTATTATAAAATTAAGACATTTTAATTTCTTTTTTTGTCAAATTTTCAGTTTAATTGAAGCATATTTTTTTACGTTTTTTTTTTGTATGGTATTTGTGTAAATTACTATTTTTAGTAAAAAAAATTGCAAAAGACAAACTATTCTTGAGCAATGGACTTTTTATTTATAACGGTATGAAAAATTAAGATACAGTATAGAAAATTAATTTGTATTGAAAACTCGATAAGTTTTATTAAATTTGATTATAATTTTTTTGTGATATTTTACAATGGTTGTAAAAGAGCAATGGACTGAAATCTGACATATTCAAAAAAATCTTCTTAAAATAATGTTATTCTATCTATTTCTTAGTTAAACAGTATAGGTTTTATGAGAAAGTAAATAATACATATAACATATATGTATATATACATTATCAAAACAAATATTCCGTAAGTTACTAATTCTGTCCCAAATCCTATAAGTCATATAACAAAATATATATAACAGAAATTAAATATGTAATTTTACATAAAAGATTATGAAAATGGTATGTAAGAGATATAATACTAAAATTATATTAGGTAAAGATAATTGGAAATAATACTTTTTGTTATCACAATAACCTCGGGTTTCTGAGATCAAAATCCTCGTTTATATTGTTATGTCTGTTTTGTCAAAGATGACCATTTTATGCACAGATTTTGTAGTCAGAAACCCATAGTTAGTTTTGCATATTAAATGTATTTTGTGATTGCATTAGATAATGTAGTAAGTCAAATTTGTAAATAAAACGTTGTAAAAATTAGTTTTAAAATAATTAATTTGAAAGATTTTTTTCATTTAGTACAAGCAATTGTTACTCAATGTATGAATTAGCTAAAATACATTTAACACACAATTGAAATTTATGGCTCAGTTTTTTATGTGAACATCTTTTGTTTTATTTATCCCCACACTATTAAAACTAACTAGCTATTGCCAGCGGCTTCGTCGTTGCAACATAGAAGATAGCCAAATTAACTCGCGCACATAATTGCTACTTTCCTGTAAAAATTCTTAAAATTGGTCCAGTTGTTCGGAGATTACCCGGAACAATCATGGCCCTGAGAGACAGAAATTAAAAAAAACTTTTCAAACAAAAGTATCGTAGTCGCGGAAAATATTTTTTTTAAAATTATTTTACATACGAATACGCCATTGACTCGCCGAGTGTTCAAAAATCGCAATGGCAAAACTTGTTACAGTGTGTCTAAGATAGATTAGTTTGACAACTGAGGTCTATGAAGTATCGAATTAATTTTGTATGAAGATTAACGTCGTACTTATTGGACGTTTGTCATAGTGTCGACCGTACGCGCATTACGAACGAATAAACTATCGAAAATCGATCTTGTTATCGAATTATATAAATCGAAAAAATAAGTACTATAACTTAGGTATTTTATTTATTTTTGAATTTATTACAGATGTTAAGCTATGTCTCGCGCAATTGACTAAAAAAACGTTAAAACAGTTGTTTTTGTTTCTCAAAATCATAATATTTGGTTTAATATTTTATTTTTCTACATAGTTTAGAAAAATACAGTTAGCATAAACGACAACAGTTTCTTTTATATTGTAAATAAAAAAAATAACCACGAAATATTCGATTACAAGTTCTATGAGAACAACAATCGAATATTTTCATAACCGATTTTACTCAATCATCTCTAGGGGATTATCAAATGAATTGTCAAACTAATCTACCTTATTATGACTTACTATACTGTGTGATACTGGTATTAACATATTGTTGTCTCTGTTTTTCCTAAGAGAATGAAAGGGATGGCGATATGTGTCAACAAATGTCACTGTCAAACACACAGTAAAAACCATTTATATACTCTTTGGTAAAAACAATTGATTTGGGTTATTAAAATAATAAAACAACAATTACAGCAAATCTCCATTTATTGCCTTCAATAATACTGAAGCAATTAACCAATATAAGTTAATAAATAAATAGTACAAATTCGTATAAATAAATTAAAACTAAATTGTTTCGTTATGTTTCGACTAGAATTTTTAAGACGATATGATTTGTTAAGTATAACATTGGGTTTAAATTATTTGTGCTACTTGTGAGTGAATGCTTCGTTTAAATATTAGCATAAATTAACTGTGAAAGTAAAAATAAATTACACGATAAAAAGTTTACATTTCAAAAGATTTTAATTTCGTTCTTTTGTATAAAAATTACCGTAGATAATGTATGATTTTTTAATGAACTATAATTTGAACAGCTTTTAGTAGTTTGGTTTAACGGTGAGCGGTTATGAATGGTGAGTTTATGGTCACTGTGAGTGAGTGGTGAACGGTGGTCAGTGGCTGGAGAAGTTGGTGAGCAGTTCCTCCTGAATGCTATTGGAGCGCGTCAGATGTCGCGCGGCCATCTGACCGAATGCCGTCGCAACGGTGTCAGCTTGAGACGCTTCCCGCGCTTTCTTCTCGTGATATTCATCCGAGAACTCCTGTATAAACAAAAATAAGTTGCATATAAAATATTTTAATAAAAAAAGAGTAAATGGTGTACAAAGTTTACTGACCTTTAGCCTGTTGCCGAGGAAGACGGCTCTCTCGCGTTTCTTGTGTATGAAGTCTGACTGCGCGAGCCAGCGGTGCTCGTAGCACTCCTCTGCTGAGGGTCGCTTCAGGGGTACCTTCTTGAATACGAACATCAGGAACCGCGTCGCCTCCTGTCAACAAAATGAACCAGTTACCATGGTGACAACACGAAAATTTCGTAGTATACCATGTGTCAAGGTGCACGGACCTGTGTGATCTCCTTGTAGAGGTGCTCGAAGCGGTAGCGCACGAAGGAGATGTTCTGCTTGGTCTCGGCGTCGTCAGCGCCGCGGAAGGGCGACGTGCCCGACAGCATGATGTAGGTGAGCACGCCCAGCGACCAGATGTCGCTCTGCGGGAACGCGGGCTCGTCGTTGATCACCTCGGGCGCTGAGAGGAGACATATCATAATAAATCTAAAAAACTCAAACTGGGATATGGTAATAAATATGAATGTTATATTTACCTTTGTATTCCAGTTCGCCCACTTGTGGCACGCTGGTTCCTAGCTTGGTAACTCTGTGCGCGGAGCCCAGGTCGATGAGTTTGACCTGTATGGCCCTTACCGAGGACATGACCACGTTGTCGGGCTGTAGGTCGAGGTGGCAGTAGCCTCGCCAGTGCAGGTACTGCAGCGCGTCCAGGATCTGGATGACGATGGTCGCGACCATTTGCTCGGTGTAGTCGTGCCGGCTGGAGAGGTACGTCAGGATATCGGCACCTTGCAGTTTTTCTAAAATGAGCGCGGCCACCGGCGACCCGGGAGTCTGGTATGCGCCCAACAAGTTAGATATCCTCTCGTGCCTTAGCCTCCTCAAACATTCGAACTCCCTTTGTACTTGAATCTCGGTTTCCGGTCGGCATTCCAGAATTTTAGCGACGACGACGCTATCGTTGGTCTTGTCGATGCCTTTCACGACGATGGAGAATTTGCCGCGCCACAGCTCCGATATGAAGCTGTACCTTTCGGTGAAGGACTCGCTCGTATCCCAGTCTTTGGGCTCGTTCTCGGCCCCGTAGTCCAGTCTCGGTTTCTCCTCGTTCAAGACGATCTCCTGTCCGGATTCCGTCAGCTGCTGCAGGTGCTTCATGGCTTTCGTGACTTCTATTTTCGCGGCGCCCGCCTCCTTCGTCTTCACTAGGTTGGTCGGGATGCCTTTGTCGCTCCAGCCGATCCTGTTCCTAGACGCCAGCCTGAACTGGTAGCTGGTCTCGGGTTGGAGGCCGCGCACCACAAAGAACTCGTGGTCAATGTTCTCGGCGACCGTCTTCCAGTCGACGCTGTCGCCCTCCTTGTACTGCAGGCTGTAGCACAGCACCGGGGAGTTGCCGTCATACTTCGGCTGCTTCCACCTGAGCAGCACCTCTGTGTCGGAGAGGTCGGCGACGGTGGGACTGTCGGGGGCGTCGGGGCTGGTGGCTTCCACTATTCTTGTCCTCGCCACGGTTTGGCCGACTTTGTTTCTCGCGACAACCTTATAGAAGCCGACGTCGTGGTGCATCGAGGGGTCGAATTTGAGAGTCGAGCGGCCGTCCTCGTCCTCGATTATCTTGATGCGCTGTCCCTCGGCGATGACCTTGTCGTTCTTGAACCACTGAACGCTCGGTTTGGGGTCTCCGACGGCGTAGCAAGAGAGCTGGGCGGGCTCACCCTCCCGGATGGGGAGGATCTGCGGCTTCTCCCTGAAGAAGGGCGGGTGGCCGTCCTTCTTGGCCTCCATGAGAGCCTGGGCCTCCGCATAGCTGTCGAGGCGGGTGCCGAGCTCGTGGCGCAGCCGGCGGATGGTGTAGCTCTCGCTGCCGTAGCGGTTGATTCTGTCGCGGCGCTCGTCGTCGATCTCCTCGTCCATGATGTCGGTGAAGCGACGACGTTCGCGGATGATCGGAGTCTGGAGCAATATTTAAAGTATTAATATCTAGGTATAAACGTGAGCTGTGCGCTGGAGATGAGGGCGTGCGACTCACTCGAGGGTCGTATGCGTCGTGCACGCTGAGGTTGTATGCGGGCGAGCGGTCGCAGGCCACCTTCATGTACTCGCGCAGGCGCACCGGGAACTGCGTGTCGCGCAGCTGCAGCAGGTACGTGTCCGGCCCATTCTGGTAGCTGCAGACACACACACACATGCACTGTTAGCCGTCTTGTACGTTTACCGCACTGCATTTAAACAATGAAGTCCTTGACGGTATTTAGGTGGAAATAGACTGTGCAGTTGTACTGACTGGCTCTCGGAGGTGGCGGAGACCTCCCAGTCGGGGTGGTCCCAGTGCGGCATGCTGAGGTCCGGCGCCGCGCGGTCCCGCGGCTCGCGCTCCGGCGATCCTGTGCAACGTGTTCATCGATACAATGAATAAAATTTTCGACGAAAAGTTACAGAGTCTTGCGATTTGACAAGCCACAAAATAAGAAAGAAAAGATACCACGATATTCAGGTGTGTATATCTCTCCGGGCGGATACACCATCTTGGAGGGGTGGTCGAAGGCGCCGGAGAGCGGCCGGCGGCGGAACCACGTCCTGCACTGCGCGTTGCTCATCCAGTCCCTGAGCATAAGTCAATCACTTAACCGGATAAACAAGCCAAGATATTCATATGAAGCCTCAACAATAACGACTATTTAACAGATCACAAAGAAATTTTTGTGTTAGTCGTTTGGCCGCTCATCTCCATCTTTTCTTTGTAACTAACCTGTAAAAGTTGTAGTAGTTCCGAAGTCTATCCGTGGTGATGAGGAACTCGTCGTGGTAGATCTTGTCGGCGCGCGTGAGCCAGGGGTGGTCCAACGCTGTGCGCACGTCCATGCGCTGGCGCCAGTCCACCACCAGCAGCCGCGAGATGAAGTCGCGGCATTCCGTACTCATTCGCGACCACCACGACTCGTCGTGCCAAGACCACGAACCGTCTTGCACTCTGTTAGTCAACATGGCTCGTTTAAAAACTGTTCAATTACATTTATCAGATAGATAGAGATCTAAGGAACTCGTGTATAAAGCGAATTTCTGCGTATATTGAGTTATTTATTTTCTATTATATGATACGTAGAGGTGTCTACCTGGTGAGGGTCTCCCTGTCGTTAAGACCGCGGAAGGGAGAGTGTCCGCTGAGCAGGATGTAGGTGATGATGCCGAGACTCCACATGTCGGCAGGGTAGGAGACGCCCTCTCCACGCGCCACCTCGGGCGCCACGTACTCCGGCACGCCATAGTGCAGCGCCGCCAGCCGCTCCGCCAGGATGCGCCGCGACAGACCGAAGTCGCACAGCTTCAGCTCGTCGCTGCCCGCGTGCGACAGCACCAGCTCGCCGATCTGAACATTGTTTATACCATTTATTAGCCTTTGTAATAATAGTTGGTAAAAATTCATAAGAAATAAGTAACTGACGGTGAGGCCGAGATGCGCTATGCTGTTGTCGTGCATGTGGCGCAGTCCGCGCAGCAGCTGGCGCACGTAGCCCGCGATCTCTCGCTCCGTGTAGCCCTGGCTCCTGCACATTCAACACATCATTGCGTTTAGTACGGTCAACTGTTGTAAAATCATTGTTTGTAGTACAACAATCGTTCAAAAATAGTCCTTCCAGTCAGACAATTAAATAATTTTTTTCAAAGATGACAACCCTATTGAAAGGTTGGTTGATATTTGTCATCTTTGTCGCTGACCTGAACAAATAAAAAATCACGATCAAGCTTTGAAAATGGTTCTTTGTGTCCGATAATTTTCTGTAATAGTGTTGTTCAGGTAAAATTAGTGTTAAGACCTGAGCAGGCGGTCGCGCACGAGCTCCCCGCCGGCGGCCAGCTCCAGCACCAGCGCCAGTGTGTGCTCGCGCTCGTAGGCGTCGTGCAGCCGCACCAGATGCCGGTCGCTCAGCAGGTTGAGGATGTCCAGCTCGTTCTTCATGAACGGCTTCAGCTCCGAGTGCCCGTGCATTATCTTTGCGGCGTAGTTGCGACCTAAACAAAGCCATGATTTGTTATATTTGTGTCTCAGTATGTGGCAGGTTGAATAGACAGAGCGAATGTTGGGTACCGGTGAGTCTCTCTGCGGCGTGGTAGACGACTCCCTGCACGCCGCGGCCCAGCTCGTCGCCGATGTCGTAGAAGTCGCCAAAGGGTTTGCCGGTCGGCTTCACGCGCGGCGGGTGCTCGCGGATTCTTAGCAATAAAAAATATCGTTAAAGTTACACGGCTAGTATTGCTCATTTTGACTATACTGGTCCCTCCGTCCAAGTTATAAGAGTATCTACCTGGTGGAGTACTCGTGCTCGCTCTCCTCGACGTGCAGCATGGCGGAGGAGCTGACGGCGCCGGCCACGTTGCGCGCCGATACCGAGTACAGGCCCTCGTCCTTCAGAATGGCGTCGTGGATCACCAGAATCACCGTGTCCGGCTCGATGAACTGCATCTGGTTTGGAAAACAAATACATATCGAATAATTCTACTTTAATTGGTTTGTTGCAACAAGAGACATGAATACTACCTTGATTCTGGTGCTGGGTGCGAGCGGCTGCCAGTCCTTGTACCATTTGATGTCGGGGTAGGGCACGCCGGTGACGCGCGCCTCCAGGCGGGCGGTGCGACGCTGCAGCACCACGGTCTCCTGCGGGCGCGTGATGAAGCGCGGGTACTCCGCCAGCTCCAGCCTCACGCGCTGCCGGGCCTGCCCGTGCTCGTTCGTCGCCACCGCCTCGTACCAGCCCGCGTCGCGCTCCAACATCCTGACATACACAATGACCGTCCGAACATCTCCTACGAGCATCGATCTATAAGATAGGTAACAAAAACTAACTTGTTAATGAAGAGAGTGGCCTGTCCGTTCCTGGTGTAGCTCCAGTCGTACCGGCCGCCTATCTCGATGGGCTCGTCGTTGAAGAAGTATGTCATCTTGGGCTTGGGGTAGCCGTACACGAACCAGAAGAGGTCGGCGTTGTGGCCCTTGACGCCGTACTGCGCGTCGTGCTCCTGGCGCAGGAAGCGCGGCGCCTGCGCGTGCCCGTCGTGCGGCGGCCGCTCGATGTCGAAGTCCCGCGGGAAGTAGGGCGAGGTCTCCGGCCGGAAGTCAATGCCCGGCTCCAGGTAGGGCACGAACTTGGGCGGTTCGGGCTCCAGGCGCGCGCGCTGCGTCACCGCGTAGGGCGAGGGCTCGCTCACGCCGTACTTGTTCTCGACGCGCACGCGGAACTTGTAGTCCCGGAAGGGCTCCAGGTTGCGGATGTCGCACACGCAGGAGCGCAGCCCCGTGCGCGCTGTGAACCACTCCCCCTCCGGCATCTCGCACATCTCCACCTGCACATGACATTTGTTGCGGTATGATCACACTAAAGTTCCATAATCCTTTAACAATAGGCAAGGTAAAACTGTAATAGTTACCTGGTATGTGACGGGGAAGCGCGGGCCGTGCGGGATAGAGGGGCGCCAGGAGAGCGTGAGATGGCGGTCGGCCATGCGCGAGATGATGGGCTTATCGCCGAGCGGCATGGGCACGCCAGTCTTCTTCATCTTATCGAAGTTCGAGTACTGCTCCGAGATCGGCCGCTTACTCGAGACGGGTTCGAGAGCTGCGCAACGACATATAATGTTTTGCAGTTATACCGTTAAATCGTGGAAGATAATTAAGATGTATAAATGTACTGACTGTCGTAAGTGAGGTTGGCGATGCAGGAGTCCTCGCCGTGCGGGTTGTAGATCCTGCAGCGGTAGGTTCCTACGTCGCTGTGGTCCGCCCCGCTGATGCTGAGCCGCAGCAGACCCGTCGACTCGTGGTCCATACGAATGCGCTCGCACGGGAACAGCTTCTCGTCGTTGCGGAACCTGTACCAGAGGTGGGCATTGATGGGGGAAAAATGGTCTCTAGTATCAAAAATGTCGTCAGCAATATCAACACAGTAAAGTAAGTTTTGTCAGGAAAATGAGACGGCAGAGACTTACCATTCGACTTCGGGCTCCGGTGAGCCGGTGACGCAGGCGGTGAACTTGACGGGCAGGCCGCGCACTATCTCCGCGTCACCGATGCGCTTCAGGAAGGAAGGCGGCTCCGCGCGCTGCTGCCGACCGCTGGAAACATTACATGTTGTATGTATAAGGCATTGAATATAACGCACATAAATAACATTTACATAGTATTACATTGAATGTACTTACATTTTATCGACAACCTCTAGTGCGGCCTCGCAGATGGCCTCGCCCTCCTTATTCCTGGCGACGCACTTGTACGTGCCGGCATCTTCAGGCACGAGGTCGCGCACGTAGAGGCAGCAGGCTTCGCCGTCGCGCTTGATGCCGTACTTGTCGCCGGCGCTGAGCGGCCGCCCGTCTCGGTACCACGACACCTCGGGCGTTGGCTTGCCGTGCACGCGCGCCGAGAACTTTGCGTCCAATGACGGTAGCTGGAGAGACAAATGAAGATGTCGTTGTACAAAGCTGACAATGTACTGAAATGAAGAATGAAACCCATACTTCGAAGTAGCCGCTTACCTGCTGCAGGTCGGTGAACTTCTGCGAGAAGGTGGGCGGCTGGTAGACCTTGCGCACGTTGACCGGGGCCTCGCTGGTGTCCTCGCCCAGCGGATTGCTGAGCCGGACAGAGTACACACCCGCGTCCGCCGGCACCACGGGGTTGATCTCTAAACCGACCTACAAACATATTTCCCTATAGACGTGTCTGAGTAAAAAGAGACATCTTCGTAGTGTTCAAAGGTAAGTAAGGCTTATTACTAAACCTCAAATTTATATTCATGTATCCTACTACCAAGAGAAAATGTTTACCCATATGCAATGCTTCAAGTATTCCAGCTTACCCTCTTTCCATCGCAGGTGAGTAGGAGCCTTTCGCTGGGCATGAGCGGCTGACCGTCCTTGGTCCAGGCCACTTCAGGTACAGGGTTGCCAGCGAAGGGCGCGCTGAGGGTCAGGGGCTGGCCCTCGTCCGCCGTCGTCTCCCGCAGGCCGTGCACGAAGCGAGGCTTCTCTTGTGGCGACGAGTCATCCTCGCGACCTTAACAAGCATTTAGAGAACATATGACCGATTTATTTTGTTTGTACTTATAATAAATATTGCGGTTATTCCAAACTTACTGGCAACACTGAGCTCGGCGGTGCAAGACGTCTCTCCCTTATCATTGGCCGCGATAACGCCGTACTGTCCGGCGTCCGGCGCTTTGGCTTCGGCTATGAGCAGTGCTATTGCGCCGTCCGGCTGCGTCACTACCCGGACACGCGTGCCGTCCGGAACTATCTCTTCACCATTGTGTGTCCTACAATTCAATATGATTTTTAAATTTTTTAAAAAGCTATTTTAATATTTTTAGTTTATAAAAATTATCTAATATGGCTTTACCATTTGATGACAGGCGGGGGATGTCCCAGCACTTTAACTTCCAGTTTAGCAGGGAATCCCTCGATGACCTTGACGGGCATGAGTTCCGCGACGAAGGCGGGCTTACGCTCCTTCTGCAAGACCTCGACCTTGGCCTTGGATTCGACGTCGCCGAGCTTGTTGGCGACGGTGAGCTGGTACTGGCCCGCGTCCTCCGGCCTGCAGCTGTCGATGCTCAGTCCGATCACACCACCCGGCTGGTTGATGAAGTTGATGGCTTGCGACGGACGGATCGGAAGACCTGGCGGAATTTTATGATTGTTTAACATGAATCTAGAAATGTGGAAATGCTAGATTACTAATAACGCATGCGATGTGTTTCTTTTAGGTTTGGTTTTTCTTTTTGTTTGTAGTAATTTATCTAATGTTTTTGTGTTACGTACCGTCCTTGAACCACTTGACTTCGGGCGCGGGGAAGGCCATGACTCGCGCCTGCAGCTTGAGCGGCTGCCCCACCACCGCCTTCACATCCTCCAGCGGCTCGCTGAACGACGGCTTGCGCGGTGTTGCTGCAGCGAAGATACAATTTATTATAACTTATCGGAATTTTTGTGATTTGTGGCTTCAGCTAAAAAGGTCGGTAGGTACTCACGGTTGACTGCAACGGCGCAGAGCGCGGAGTTCTCTCCGTTGGGGTTGGTGATGACGAGTTTGTAGGCGCCGCAGTCGGCGGGCGTGACGTGCTCTATGCTGAGCTTCACAGTGCCGTCTGGCAGCGCGCTCTGCTTCACGCGGGAGTCCTCCGCGGGCAGCGGGGCGCCGTCCTTGTACCTGTAGTATTATATTGTTAGCAGATGTCTTGTACTGATGTACACTTAGGATTCAATATATTTTAATAATATTTCGACCTAATTTGTCATGATTATAAACTTTATAAATATCCGAAGGTTAGTTACCACTTGGCAGTGGGTATGGGGCTGCCGTCGAGTTTGGCCTTGAGTTCGAGAGGTTCGCCCTCGTCGACGTCCTTCTGTCGCTCCAGCTTGTGCGCGAAGCCAGGCGGCGTCTGCGCCAGCGAGATCACCGCCTCGCACTCCGCCTCGCCGGACAGGCTCACGGCGCGCACCACATACTGACAATATACACCCCACATATGTTATGGACAAAATAGAAACGTAACCTATATACTTAGAAGAACTATAACACGAACCTTGCCAGCGTCGGATGGATTGAAGTGTTTGATCTCCAGCTCGCTGTCGACCTGACCGCCGACCTCCGTGGTGACGGTGTGGCGCTCGTCGTTGACCACCTGTTTGTCATTGACGAACCAGCGCACCTCAGGCTTGGGTACGCCGTCGCAGCGCACCTTCAAGGTGCAGTCTGCATAGTCCTTCACCGTCTCCTTCTGCAGCGGCTTCGTGAACACCGGCTTGTCCGCTGAAATTATTAATTTTATTTACAAAATTCTATAATAAATCCTAACCGATCAGCGGTTAACTATTTATGAATAATAACTTACTGTGTATGGTAAGCTTAGCCTGCTGTGAGGCTTCCCCTATCTCATTTTTGGCGGTGACACTGTACACACCGGCGTCCTCCGGGGTCACCTTCTTCACCACCAGCTTGTGCGTTTCCGATGCCTTGTCCTCTTCTATGTCGATCTTTGATGACGGCTTTATGACGTACCCATCTTTGCTCCTGTACAAAAATATAAGAGCCATTTTCTACATAGGCAGTTATTTTAGTAAAGTTAAAGTCAGAATGTTATTGATCATTACTACTGACCATTGCACTTCAGCGATGGGGTTGGCTTGTATCTTGGCGATGAAGGTGGTCTCCTCGTAAGGCATGGCGGTGACATCCTTCAGACCCTCGATTTCCGGCCGCAGCAGAATGTCGAGGCGCGCAGAGCACTCGCCCACTCCGTACTTGTTCTTTGCTTGGATAGTATACATACCGGTGTCCGCATGACGACCTGAACATTTATTTATTGAATTTGAAATAAGTTATTATACGAGAAGTAAAATTAGTTCTTAAGGTGCTTTCTTCTTTCAAAGGTCGGTGATCGTTAGGGTAACCTGTATTATTGAGAAATATTCCTTTTAACATCGTACCAGTGGGAATACGAAGGGTGAAGACGCACTCCTTGAGTCCGTGCTCGATGTCTTTGGTCTCAGCGTCGATGAGCAGCGTTGCATCCGGGGTGAGCTCGTGGCCATTAAGCAGCCAGGCGACGTGCGGCAGCGGGTCCGCCGTGCACACCGCGCGCAGTGTCACCGGCTCGCGCTGCATCACGCGCTGTGCTTCCAGTGGCGTCTTGAAGATCGGCTTGCGGAGCTCGCTCTCGGCTGGAAACAGAATATAACAAAACATATAGTGAACCGAGTATGATAAAGGAAATTTTACTAAACTGGAGTAATGCGGTATACAAAAGTTCATTTGCTTAATACTTGCTATTTCACAAACTTAGTTAGTGGCGACAATATAAAGTTACTCACGTTTGACAGTAATTTCTGCTTGAAGAACATCTTTTCCAAGATTATTGCTGATCTCGCACTGCCATTTGCCGGCGTCTCCGAGTTCGGCCTTATCCACTTGTAGTTTGTACAGGTCTCCATCGTTGGTGATGCGGACCCTGGCATCCGGTTTGACCTCTTTGCCGTCGTGCAGCCAGCGCACCGTGGGCTTCGGCGACCCACTCGCTTCCACAGTAAACACCAGAGGTAGAGATTCGTACACACTGCTGTCTTTCATGCTGCTCTCTTTCAGTTTCGGAGGTGCTGAAATATTTACAGCTCATTGGAGTATTATAATACATTTTAATTTTGCTTCGTAGAGCGAAGAAGAAATTTTTAAGAATGCTGATAGATGCGATGATATTTCAGTGGCGTGCAAGCTAGAACCTAAAAAATAATTTACAAAGTCTTGCAGACTTTAAAAATTATGATTGTAAGGAATGAAGCACGTATAAAATTATGAAAATATTTACAAAAGATTTTTATGTGTAGAAAAGATACAGCATTTTTACATTCATGGAACGAAAAACACTTTTGCATAATAACGTAGAATATACAATAAATTTGTGTTCAATCCGCATATTTACAGCAGTTAATCGTAATAATATTGCGACTGTACTTACCGACGTGTAAGAGGTATAGTGGCTCGTTTGTATCGTGTCTATTGCTGTGTGTATACATACCAAATTCGTCGCATATTGTTGAGGAATATAACAAAAAGCAACTAAATACAAACAGTAAACAGACGCAAAAAACAAAAGAGTTACCTTTGTATGGACGTGTGGTTGAGACTAACATCTCCTGCGCAACAGGACCCGTTTATTAGTATGCCAGAAGGAAATGTTATTACGCATGCGCGCTAAAACAAACATACGATAGAATTAATACAAAATAATGTCCGAATGCTAAGAAGTATGTGGATGTGATCTGATCTTTTATTGTTCAAATATATTTTGTTTATGTTTATAAAAGTGTATAAAAAACATCATTTTGTTTTAACAAAAACATCAGATCACAATTAAAGAACGTCAGCTGAATTTCATAACTTTTGAAGTAAAAGCAACAAATACAAAGTTGTTATGCCCCTAACAAACATTCGTAGCGTTATAAAACGTATTTCAGCCTTCCAGTATTCCTTTTTCAATAATATTGTATGTACTTGAAATTTACCTTTTACATCTTCTTGATTTATAATATCATCTAATATGCTTCTCTGTCTCTGACTGCGTCTCAGCAAAGCTTCCACTTCCCCATCGTCCTCTTCTTGTAAGCAAAATAGTTTTCCATTTTGTTTTTTCTTTTTCTCCACAGTCGTCTCGGCGATGTCTTTTGTTATGTTGTCATGGTTCATTATGTCTCCTATTACTAATTCCTCGATAATTCGATTTTTAACATCGTCAGCCTTTTCTTCAATATTCTTAAATTCATTTTCATCGAATTCTTTGCGAATATCTATAAGTTTTTCAGTGATATCATTTTCAAAAACTTTTTCACGTTTTTCAGTTAATATGACAGATTCCTCGTCTCCCTCGTTTGTCAAGTAATCTTCCTTGAAAGAAGACTGACGAACGTATGAGTCTTTGCTGAACACTTTTCGAGTTTCATCTATTTCAAATATCGTTTTTGATAAATCTTCAATTGATATTTCCCGCGACAATGACTCATTGTACAAGCTGTTCTCATCTTCCGAAACGGAATGGATAGAAACCGTTCTATTTCCGGTAAATCGTCCATATCTCAAACTATCAGCATCGGAATCCGTCTGCGGTTCTTCTATAATACCGTATGTGCCTCTCCTAACATGGTCCGGTACTGTGTAGTAACCCATCTCGGATAGGAAATAGCTGTGACTTGCTATTTCTTCTACTTCTAAAGAAGTAGTATGTGGCTTATTGGGTGGTATAACTTTTCTGGTGCACTCATCATCATCATCGTAGTATTTCGATGTCATTTTATGCAAAGTGTGTGTTTCGGCAGGACCTAACAGTTAAAATAGTATTATGACCACATTTATACTAACGTTGATAACATAAAGCATGCAATAGGTGATTGAAAACAACCAAGAGGTAAGGGTTTATAATCCAAGGAATAAATTAAATGGTTATTAAATGAGGAGAAAGAAAAGTTAAGAAGGAAGATAAGCGAAGCACTGATACCGACCTGTGATAATGGCGCCGTGGGAGCAGGTGCTGCTGACCTTAGACACTACAATAGACCCGTCCTCGCCTGTCTTGAACGTGGTTATTGTTTCGAACACTCGGCCTAAACATAACAAATCACACTTCGTTTGTTAAAAATAACACAAGTTAAGCATGCAATATTACTTGCGAAAACGTGACTTTCTCGCTGATTATAAGCTGTTTGTTTTAAGGAGAAATGAAGAAGCATAAAGCGCTTTTTTGTACCTTCTTTTTCAGCACTTATCGGTTCTTCTTTAAGAGATTGTTTTTTAACAGATTTACGTCTTGAAGGCTTCAAGTCTTCTTCTATTTTTACTTCTGTTATATTTTCAGGTTCCGTTATTCCTTTGTTACTCTTTTGTTTATCATTTTCTATATCTTTAACTTCAGGCTTTTTATTTTGTTCATCTTTTTTCTCATCCCATATTGATTTTTCTTCAATGGGCTCTGACGCAGTAAATGATTTTTTAGATTTATCAGGCACCTCTTGAATTTCTGAAATTTTTATTTTTTCATTTTTCTCATTCTCATTCGTATCCCACGCGCTCTTTGCTTCGGATACTTCAGATTTTGTACAAGATTTCGGAGCTTCATCTTCTTGTATATTTTTGTTAGCTTCATCAAAGGATTTATCCTCTGCCTTTTCAGGTTCTACCAATAACTTTCTCGGTGATTTAACATCACTAATTACAGGTTTTTTAATTTGTCCTTCATTTTCATCCCAAAATGATTTTGTTTCAGCGTTTTCAGCGTCTGTGATTGATTTTCTAGATGTTATAGGCTTTTCCCTTGAATCATCTATTTGTAACTTTTGAGATTGTTCACTTTCATTATCGTCCCAAAAAGATTTTGTTTCGACTGATTCAGGTTCTGGCAAAGTTTTTCTACTTGATTCTTCACCATTATCCAAGTCTTTCAATTGCTGATTATCCTTTTCTGCTATTGATTCCTTAGATTTTCTGGGCTCTATTTCGCTACTATCAATTTGCACAGTGTTATTTTGTTCGTCTTTAATTTCATCCCAGAACGATTTAGTTTCAGCTTCTTCAGGTTCCGAAAAGGACTTATTTCCTTTTTGTGGTTTGTCAATTACTTCTTGTTCTTTTACACTCTTAGTTTCTTTATTTTCTGTGTCATCATCCCAAAATGATTTTTCTTCTACTGTATCAGGTTTTGAGAATGATTTTCTAGACTTTTGTGGTTTGTTTTGTATTTCTTCAACATGGGGTATTTTAGCTTGATCTTCAATGTCATCATTTCCGCTAGATCTTTCTTTAGCTACTTCAGGTTTAGAAAATGATCTTTTAACTTTTTGAGCTTCATTTGTAACTTCATTTACCAATACTTTTTTAGCATTTTCATCTACATTTTCGTCCCATATTGACTTTTGTTCTATTGGTTCTGCTTCCGAGAATGGCTGTTTTGTTTTCCTAGGTTTGATATCGTCTTCAACGTCATCCCAGAATGATTTCTCTTCTTCTACTTCCGGTTCTGAAAATGTATGTTTCGCTTGTTCTGGTTGTATATCAGAATCATTAACTGTGGTTTCCTTAGCTTTGACGCCGTCATCAATTTCATCCCAAAATGATTTCTCTTCTGCTATTTCTGGTTCGGAGTGCGACTTTTTAGCTTTGTCAGCTGTTTGCTCCTCAGTATTTTCGAATCTAACGTTCTTTTCAGTATCGTCAACAAGTTTTTCTTCAATCTTTTCCGTTTTTGTTTTCTTGACAGTTGCCGTGTCTTTATCGTCCTCAATAAGTTCTTTTGTTTCTTGCTTTTTAGGTTTTCTATCTTCGTCGACTTCTTTTTCAAGCATTGTTTCTTTTTTGAATCTTGAATGAACTTCTTTAGCTATTAAAAATAACGAAAAATGATGACATTATAATGGTTTTTGGATAGGTGTTTAAAGTATTAAAGACGTCACAAAGAGGTGAGGGGGGGGATATGGTGCTTAGACACTTGTGAAAACACACATCGGCGTTCTTGTCGAATGAACACCTTTTTACAGAAACAAAGTAACTTCTACAAATCGTCCAGGAAAGGACACTACAACAAATCTAATGCGTGCAATGCAGTAGTAATCTACTTCATGTAATACTACGCTCTAGTTTACTACCATACCTATATGTGCTTGTTCCGAAGGTGTAGCAAGTATAGTCTGTGAGTTGTGTGACTGTACCTTATCAAAGTGTGCGATGCGTGTTGTGTGTGTGTTTGTAACTTGCTGAACCATATGCTAGTCACTGTTAGCTAGTGACTAGGCGCTGATAAAATATTGTGTTGGTTCATAATGTATATTTGGAATATAACATATTTTAGTTTTGGTTTCGGATCCATCATTAGAATGAATGCACGTCGAATCATTTGGAGTTCCTACATATGTCGAGATGTGTGCTATACTTACTGTGTACGGTGACAGTACTCTTGGAGCTCACACTACCCATTTCGTTTTCAGCTCTAACTTCGTACTCTCCGCCGTCTTCTTCCTTCACAAGCGTTACTGTTAAGTTATAGTTCTCCAATCTGAAATATAATGTATTTTACATTGCATATAAAATTATTTATTTCCCGTTACTACGAAAAGGCGTTAAAAATATTACACTTCACAATCTTACCTTTTCGTGTCTCGTTCTATCTTGATTCTAGCATCGGTAGTGACTTCTTTGCCGTCTTTGTACCACTTGACCTTGGGCTCGGGGCAGCCTTCCACTTCCACCTCCAACTTCAGAGTCTGTCCAGCATCCACGGTCATGTCTACTAAGCTCTTTGTGATCCGTGGCTTCCCTGCGATCATATATATATATACATTCATAACAAGACTTACTTGTTATATCACCTTGGTAAAAGTAGAATGATTATAGAAATGGACTAACTATTGACAGTGAATGTGGCGTGGCAGGAGTCGCTGCCGAGGTCGTTGGTGACCTTGCAGGAGTACTGGCCGGACATCTCAGCCGACACCTCCTTCAGGATCAGCTTGTGCGAGCTGCCGTTGTCCACGCGCGTGTACACCGACTTCTTCTCGGTTATCTCCACATCACCCAAGTACCTGGGAATATGGAGCATTAGTATCCATACTATATTATTCCAACCATCAGTCACTAGATGCGGTTGTACGACAACATCGTCCATTGCAACTTCACGGCGTTTCTGAATCAAGGTTAATATGGAACTAGAACACTTAATAAGTAATCAGTCTCACCATTGCACTTTGGGCTCGGGGTACGCCTCCACGTCGACGGTGAACTCTACGTTGACGTCACCCTCGCTGGCGGTGACGTCACGCAACCGCTGCCGGAACTGCGGCGCGCATCGCACGTTCAGCACGCACGAATCGCTCGCTGACCCGTGCACGTTGCGGACCTGGACCCAGTCGGAAGAAGAGTCATAAGTACTGCAAATTATGACTATAGGATAACTACTAGGTATGAATAATCTCAGAGCTTTGCGATAATGATTGAGAAATAGATCTGTCCATATCAGGTCAATACAGTTTTTGAGATGTTATTTTTTCACACAATGATATTAAGAATCAAGCAATAGCGTTATGTGGTGGAACTAACTTCGCAGGAGTACTCGCCGGCGTCGGCGCGCGCGGCGGAGGTTATGACCAGCGAGTGAGCCTCGCCTGATGATGATATCTTAATCGTCGATGACTCCTTAAGTTCCGTCTTGTTTTTGAACCTAAAACATATCCAATAAGTAGTGTTTTAATTATTTTTATAATAATAAAATAAAACAAACACAGCAATTCCATCAACCTTACCATTTAACATCGGGCGCTGGATCGGATTCGGTCTCTATCTTGAAGGTGACGGTCTCTTTCTCCTCGCAGACCTTGGAGCCGCCCAGCTTCTTCACAATCTTGGGCGCGGAGGACACGTGCCACTGCCAGAAGTCCGAGCACTGGTTCACCTCGTTTCTGCACATTAATAGATATAAAAAAATATTTTTGTTTACAACGCTTAAAAATGCTAAGTATCAAACAAATACTGACTTAGCGACGACTGAATAAGATCCAGTGTCCGTAAGCTTGGCGTCCTTGATGGTGATCTTGTGGACGTAGTCGGACTCCTTGACGATGACAATCCGCTCAGAGCTCTTCAGCTCTGCGCCGTCTTTGTAGAAGCTGACCTCCGGGATTGGCGTGCCCTCTACCTCTACTGTCACCGTGTGCGTGTCACCCACCTTCACCGAGGATTGGAACATGAACACTTGAACAAGAACTAAGCTATCTCGGTCTTACAATTGCTAAATGGTACACGTAAACGCGAAATTTAATTTTATAGGTAGCGTTGATTACAGCCAGATTGTAGAAAGCCTACGTCTAACAGTAAAAAGTTCTGGTGTCAGGAAATATAAATAATAATATGAATGCCTCACCATACAGGACTGGTTCTCAATCTTCTTCTTGATCCTGGGCGCGTCTTTGACGAGGAGGTGCATAACGGTGGTGTCCTCGCCGAGCTCGTTGCTGGCAGTCACCTGGTACTCGCCCGCGTCCGCCGCAGTCACGTTCTTAATAACTAGCGACATCGACTCCTCGTCCTCGTACAGGAACCTACATATCAATAAAAACCTTTTCTAGAAGAAGTAGTAGAACAGTTTAAATTTTTACATAAATGTTTAAAATAAAGCTCATTAAACCTAAAACTTTTAATTATGGTAAGTTTATACTGACTTGTGCCTGGTGTCGGGCTCCACAACCTGTCCGTCGTGCTTGAAGACGACGTTGGGTTTGGGGTAGCCCTTGCACTGCAGCTCCAGCATGGCGGAGCCGCCGGCCGCCACCACGGCCTGCCGATGCTCGATCACCAGCGTCGGCTTCTCCGGCTCCCGGTGCAGCTCGTGGACCGCACCTGGTATATGTTCAGTCGTACATACAGGTCAATTGTTACCGCAAGTGTAAATATGGTCTAGCAACACTGAATATTTTTTAAATTGCCACAAAAAAAAACATTTAGTCATAGTACCTTGTACGGTGAGCTCTGCGGAGCATGAGATATTGCCAGTACTTGTCTTGGCGACGCAGGTGTAGAGGCCGGCATCCTCCGGCTTCACATGCTGGAACACCAGCGCCAGCGAGTCCTCGTCATCACCCAGCAGCACCTAACACAGAAACCACAAATGAAAAAAACTGTTCTCGACAGTTCTAGCAGCTGTTTGCAGCATCGTGAATGCACCAAATTACAGAATGCTGGTGTGAAATAGATGCTTTAATTTCACTTAGTCTTTTGCACCTAGATCTACAAACCTGAGGATTATCTGAAGACTGAAGGAGATTATTTGAATATTAATCTGGTTTCGATAATTAAGTATATAAATGAGAATTTGAATAAAGTCTGTTAACACGATACCTTGAATCTTTCTTCGGGATCGAAAGGTTGTCCATCTCTTTTCCATGTGAATGTGGCTTTTTCTCCTTTCGCCAGCAATCCTTCACCGCCCGGGAGCAATTCTCCAAATATATTCTTATCATCTGCAATATTTCAACCCTTTTATGAATATACCCAACTGCTAATAACATCTATATATATTGAAATCTCCCTTTTTAAAATTTCTATGAGTATGTTTGCACATGTTCTTATCCATCTTTTGAACATATTATGTATATTTTTATATTATCTATTAATAAAATTAGATCAGGTTTAATATCATCGAATATTTCCATCGTGCCGCAAATAGATCGGACAAGTTTCGGATTTTGCCTTAGTTATATAACGAGCGGAGATTCCGTATATTTCTGCGGTTATATTTAGATGACAAACTAATAAACAAATACTGGAACATTTCCAAGAGTCGCGTCAATACGCAGAGAAAACAAAATATGTCTTGTTTTAATTGTGAGAGAAAGATTGGAATAATTAATGAATTCGAAAGATTAACTGACTGTTCTTAATTTATTAATAAAGATCCATAATAAATCAGATCATGCGCACTAATCTGTTCTACCAATAGTTTTTTGTTTCTCATCGTACACTTTGATAAACGTTTTGTAAACATAAACAAAATTAGTGAAAAGTTCATCTTAGTGCTTAGTGACCGAATCTCCTCTTAAGGCTTATTTTATTCGTGCAACGTTTCTTCTATGATTTAATTCACATATGTATAATCTTACCAACAACGGTGACTTTAGCTTCAGTCTCCACTTCACCGTAGATGTTCATGGCGCGACAAGCGTAGATACCGGCGTCACCGGGCTGCACGTCGGCGATCACCAGCTCGTAGGAGCCGTGCTCGGCGCGCGTGCGCACTATAGACACGCGGTCGTTTTCAGAACGAGTCACTATCTCTTTGCCGTCGCGGTAGCTGAAAAAATGTACAAGAATATAAAATAACATGTTCGCCGTAAGTCCCGCGAATGGGTACCGATTGAAGATTTTCATTTGATAGTCTAAAAATCGACTTGATTCAGGATAAATGTTAACCAGCACCAGCCACTGGAACCTCTTTTTCTGTATTACTAAATTCATTCATGATATGTCATTAAAGTCTTAAGCTAGATACATTTTACATTGGATCATTATTGCTACTAGACGAGAGAGGTCCAAAATTTTGTAGCATACATCTTGCAAACGTCTGGTTGTGTAGGAACAATACCATAGATAATGTAATACTACAGTAGTAGATAATGTTATATATACTATATTAATTTGTAGGGATATTACTTATTTAGGAGTTAGGGGTCTTGTACAGCACCTCGTCCGTCGCACTACTGCGAGTGCGATTCTGAGTCGTGTGAATGGAACATCTTCATACTTGGAAAAAGTAAAAGTTCCTAAAAATGCTGTATTAAATTCATGAATATAATGTGAGGTTTATCCTCACAAAATTGGAACATTGTTGTAAAATATGTAATTTACGTTTCGATCGCGTTAGTAACTTTTGAATCGTGTTTTGCCTAATTTTACAAAGCGAAAAAAACGACCTCACAATATTTTGTGTAAAAGCTCCATATAAGTAGGAACAAGGAGGTTTTAGAAATATATTTAAATAACATAGAAAATTATTTGGTATCTGTATAGCTTTTTAAACAAATAAGTTGTCATTTTGAGCGACGTGGTCTCACTTGGCTTACCGCCCAGTATGCGAAAGGTTACGAGCAGAAAATATAAAAAAAAAACTTACGCAAACTGTTGTGTAATAGAGTTTGACACTTATAACTTTCGCAAACACATTTCATTTAATTCACTGCACAGTAACCGACACTTTACAAACACAGTTACATTGGCCTATTTAAATTTATATCTGGTGAGTTTTGTGGCCCGTAACAAAACCAGTAACGGTCAATCAAACTGACAAGCCCTTGGCAACAATACACACCTTTGCACAAACAATGGGTGATAATTAAAAACACGTTTAAACACTACGTGATCGCTTCAGTCTACAGTTAAATACTGAACATTGTTTCGTATCTCATTGTTAATCTGTCTGGTTGTATTGGCAAACTGTTAGAGGTGAGTGCCCCAAGGAAAGTGCCAAATTGACAAGAGAATAAACGATTTGGCTCATGCGCTACAGTTAATCGATAAACAGAATTATAAACTTGTCGCACACTACTTACAATTTAACCGTTGGATTGGGGTCACCCTTGACCCTCACCATGAAGCGTAGGTAAGTGTTTTCCAAAATCTCAGTATCTTTCAGCGCCACCAAAAAGTAAGGCGCGTTAAGAGCATTTCTTTCTTTCCTTTCTTCCGGAGTTACTGCAACATTTTGTAAAGACGATGATAAAATTGCTCATAATAAAATAAATATACGTATATTTAATAATGATGATATTAGAAATCAATTGGATTTAATTACCGTGATCACGGAAAATTTTGAAATAACTTCAAAAGTTCTGAAAAGAAGTTTCGAATTTGGACCTGATCGTTTTGTATAATATAATTAAGGAAATAGAAAGAGAATAGAAAAAAATGCCATTGAAAAAAGATAGAAGAAGGAGAATAAAGAATCTGTAATCAAAAACGATAAGAAATTAAGTGAGCAGACATTTGCAGGAGCTGGATTATTGTTGGTTTTGCTGATTAGGTAGCTTGTGAATAGAGAAAATAAGCGAACGGACTAGATAGAAGATGCTACAGAGCATGCGACTGTGTACTCCTACAAACGTGAATCCAGTGCAAAATACAGGAAAATTATGGGACAGTACAAATGGCAACGAACTACGAGTTATACGCCTTACGATGTCTTAAGTGGTGATGTTGCATGGATCATGCAGATTTAAAAAATAAATATATCGTTTAATACAATATTAAATAAACAATCTCTGTAAAAAAAGAAATTATACCATTATAGATTCGATAGAAATGGTTTTTAAAATACCAATATTTCAAAGGATAATCATCAGATCATTTTAACTCAACTTTTGGCTTGTTCCCTTCTTAATTGTCGTGACAAAAATCTAACCATTTCTATTGATTCGAATCAAATATAAAAATAAACACTTACACTCCTGGACGACTAACTGAGCTGTGCAATGGGCATTGCCCTTCTTATTCTCCGCAATGGCGGTGTAAGTGCCGGCGTCGTCTTCCCTGCAGTGCATGAGCTTCAGCCTGAAAGCTCCATCTATTGAGGTGATGGAGCAACGGTCCATCAGGCGGTCGGTCAGCGGCTTGTTGTCTTTTAGCCAAGTCACCTTCACTTCCTCGGATTCGTGAAGAGAACATTCGAACGCCGCATTTTCACCCGCTGAGGATTCATAACATTATTAGACGTGATTTCGTACGGTTCTTTGAAATATAATTTATCTAAGAGAAAACTGTCAGTTTTTTTGAGAAAAATGTCTTAGAACTGAACCGTGCGAAACCTTAGACATTATGGAACATGAAGCTTTGTTAAGTTAATGGGTTGTGTAAGTTAGTTAACTAAAAGCATTATGTACAAGCACTAAGTGTTTCTACTTCTACAAGTTTCTGCTCTCATTCTGCCGAGTACTTACGTTCGATGTTCTGCCCTTCAATGGTCTTCGTGAAAATTGGTTTTCCGTCGATCGACTCTGATTTCTTTACAGACCTTGAAGACTCGAAATCACTAGTCACGGAGCCATTAGATAAAGACGTTTTTGAATATTTTCTTTCGTAGGAAGACTCTCCATTCTTCGATTTGTCATAAGTGGACTCGTATTTAGATTCACCGTCAATCTTTTCTCCGTCATAGCTTGCATCTATACTAAATCTCGTCGAACGTCCTTCGGCCCTGCCATTGAGATCGCGACCGTATTTGGAAGCGATGCTATCGATTTTACTTGTTGTTTCGTAAGAAGATTCAATTTTATCTCCACCGTCAGTTTTTTCTCCATCGTAGCTGCTCTCAATGCTATACTTTGAGGACCGGCCTTCGATCCTGCCATTTGCATCGATGCCATACTTAGAAGCTATGCTATCGATTTTACTAGAAGTTTCATAATTTGATTCAATGGCATATTTCGAGCCTCCTTCGGTCTTACTGTCGTAGCTAGATTCAATACCGTAGGCACTTCCGCCCTCGACTCGAGCGCTGGCACTCGAATATTTCGACTCATATTTAGAGGAACTTATGCCCTCAATAGTTCCACCAGCTTCATATTTTCCGCTTTCAATGCGTGATCCACTCTCACGTCTGGAGTAAGAAGACATGCTGGTTCCGGTAGAAGATTCATACCGACCACCACTTGATAATTTTCGAGTGCTACTGGAATATTCTAAAAAAAAATTATACAATGATATATTTGTTACTCATCTTATATGGCAAAAAACGTTAAATTAAAAAAAAAACTCACCTCCAGAAGTTCTCGAACTACGACTATTATACCTCGACATCTCGTCTTCGACGTTTTCTTCGGCGGTTACAGTTTGACTGCTTCTCACTGCTGTTGGCTCAAACTCAGCAGCTCCAGCTGCACTAACTTCTACAGACTTTTCTTCACCTTGATATGTTTCGTGAGATCGCACACTTTCATTAGCAGTTCTCACCAACTCTGAGTCACTATTTTTATCACTCGATGCAGTAGATGAAAGAGTAGCCTTTGTTACGGCAGTAACAGTATTTTGCTGTTGCGTTTGGTTATCTTTGTTAAAAGATACCTCCTCTGTTAATTCAGATTTATCAACTAAAGATGTTTGTCGGGACGCTTTCCGCGAAATAGATCTTCTAGTATCTTTTTGTAATTTATTCTTAATATCAGTGTTTTCAATGGATTCAGCTATTGATTCACTGTCTTTTTGATTAGATTTTAATTCAAAAGATACTTTTTGACCTGTTCTCGTCTGACTTTCACTGACCGGATTAGACTGTGAGTTTTGTTCAGTGGATACTTGCAAAGTAGTTTGAGATGTTTGTTCTCCTAACGAACTTTCAAAAGTTACTTTAGTTTGTTTGGATAGTGAAACTGAAGATGACTCTTCTTGCACAAACAATCCCGCTTTCGGATGTTCAGAGACTTCAGGTGGAACTATGTATGTTTCCTCACTTTGTATATCAACTTCAGATCTAGCAGTTGCCGAGGTTACGTCTCCTTCTGTCTCTAATTTCTCAGTTCGTGAAAAGGCGACGTTACTTGAAGCGTCTACTAATTCACCCTCAGGTTTTATTTTAATCCTCTTAGATGCTCTTTTATCTCTGGAAATCTTACCCGGTTGAGATATTTTTCCTTCTTCTACTGTTAATACAGTAGGGTCGGAAAGAGATGATGATTGTACCTCACAAGTTTCGCTTTCATGTATAGTCACAGATGATTTAATTTCAAAATCGGCTGTGACTTTACTTTTGTTGTCGGCCGTGTCTGTGTCTTGACTTTCGTTAATATAAGATAACTCTTGTATGTCGGTCCTTGCAATTTTATTAGTTTGAGCGCTTTCTACAGACGCTTTCCGTTTAGTTTGCAACACCTCAAGAGACTCTTGTCTAGTAAGTATCTCGGCTACTTCAAGTTCTTCAGCTCGAGACTTCTTTTCTTGCTTCTGGTCTTCTTCTGTATGTTTCCGTTTTATTTTTTTGTCTTCGGGTTCAGGCGAGAGATGTTCTGATGTTGGTTGTTCTTGTGATAACACTTGAAGATCGTCAGCAGCGTGTTCAGCTAAAGCAACTGTAAATGATTTGTTAAGTAAATTTAAGATATTTTAGGCACATATTTTAGGACACTGCATAGTAGAGAGTCTACATTTACGCGTATTCATATTATCTAACATCTGAAAAAAGTTAAATTGAACCGTCATTCATTACTTATTTAGAGTTTAAAATATTCAACGTTCGCGAATTAATTACATAATTTACTGCTGGATTCTGTTCGAGATAATATTTGCGCCACGTCATCTATTTATGCGCCGCTCTACCTGCGCAGATGATTGAGTTGCGGAATGAACTAATTTAAATCGATCTCAAAATAAACTTTGCATTGAAGATTTCCACTCATGAAAGTCTCTCGAAAGATAATCTCTTTGGAAACAACATTTTATTGTAAATTGATTCGTTGTAGTTGTATGCAGATTTACTTTCCTAAAAGTATTGATTTCATTAACTTAATAAAACTTTCTTTAGACATTATACTACACTTCTATCATTTATATGAGTACGAATTTTGACTATTATGATTGCTTTTCTTTTTTTTTGTACAAATAGATCTTTATGTCAGATTTCTGACAAAACTGACTGCTATATTTATTTATTTGCCCACGTACCAACGTCTTTAGAGTGTTGTCTAATCTCCTTGAGCCAGTTGGTCTTGACGGCCTCCTTGTGTGCGGCGAGCACGAACACTAGCTGTGGGGATTTTTGGTGAAGCTCGAACTTTAGCTTGTCGCCTGGATAGTCCTGAACTTCAGCGTCGGGAAGCTGTGTCGAAAACAAGAGGTATAATGCAATGCCCGATTTAAAAATAAATAGCTGTAATAAATCAATTTAAATACATATTTTAAGGTTACAAATTTTATTGTACACTTTTCTTTTTGATTAGGATTCTAAAGATATAAAGACTCACCCTGATAATATGTTTAAGAACAAACACCGATCTGTCGTCTTCGATCCTCTTGACTTTGCAGATGAGGACCCTGGCTTTGAACAGAAATAGATATCGTTCTCTGGACTTCCCTTCGACGGTGACAGTGAACCAGTCGTGTGTGAGGAGGCGTCCGAGCTTGTAGATGTTCCCTCTATAGCCCTCGATGCTCGATATGAATTTGTTGTCTGTGGCGCGGTTCGGTACGCCGAGGAAGAGTTCGAGAGCGTTCTGTAGGTCGTTGCAATCTTCGCCGAGACGTTTCGAATATTTAACAAGTTCCTGTGAAATAAAGTAAATTCATCGAACTAAAACTTTGTAATTAAATTAAAACAATTTAGTTATTATAATCATGTAACACTGTTGAAGTGATATAAAACACAGTTGGAAATTGTCTTAATTTATGAAAGGCGCCACTCTTCTTATTATTGATAATAGTTCATACTTTTTGACGTTATTATCAGGACAAAAAGTGACCTTTCTTTATAAAAACAGTTTATTGGCAACAATTGAGATGCGTTGCGTCGATGTGCACTAAAAGCTTCACGTGTTTACAAAAATCTCTCGCTCTTGTGAGGTTGACTGTGACTTTCGAATTCAAAAATAACTCTGTTGTAATCTTGCAATGAACGAACAGTTTTATGTCATTGAACACAATGAGATGTTTACCTGATGATAACTCTTACATCATCAGATCTGTCTAGTTTTATATAAAACTAGCGGATCCGACAGACGTTGTCCTGTCTACACGTCTTTAATTTGAATAAATAATATGAAGTTAATATTTGATGAAAATTGTGAATCTAAACCATTCCCAGATCCCCTTGAATACACACAAAAAATTTCATCAAAATCGGTCCAGTCATTTGAGAGACGTTCAGTGACATACATACTCACACAAGAATTATATATATAAAGATATAATAGATTATATTATAATTTCTTTATATTTAAAAGCTATTTAGCATTATTATTATTGAAGCTACGTTTCATTTTTGTTTAAACTAAAGCTTGGGTGTAAGAATGTAAAGGATTTACATCGTTTATCAGTTTAGCTGATTTATGATAAATTCTCAGGCCGTTGCTCCAACTCTGAATATTGTTTACCAGATGTTTTCCACATGTTTCTGTGAATCTGTACACTTGTTAAACATTTTTTTCTTCGCTCGAAATAATTTTTTTCATTAAATTTGAAAATTTTCTCACAATAAGTATGTGGTTGGAAACAACGTATTTTTTTTAAAACTGTATTTACAAGGACAAAGTGATAAAATTGATATTAGTTACCTTCAATAGTAGTTGGTAATCGTTGATCCGCTGTATGGGAAGCTTTAGGTGTTCCGCAAGGCCTTTGTCGTCGCCGATCTTATCCGCTATGTTCTGACAAATAAAAAAAAAACATTAGTCAACATGACTATAGATTAATTAAAAAATATATATATTGCCGTCTTTCTTCGTCTATATGAACTATTTGAGATATCAATGCAATGTATAGATATTTTTTGCAATGGAAATTCAAAATGACCTATGTATGACAAAACTAAGATGTTTAATCAATTCAATTTTAATTAAGAGTTTCAGTGAATGATACATTGGATTTAAGACAGTCTTTACAATCAATTAATTATCTGCGTTACGACATATTCATTGGTGACTCTTGGCATTTATTTTAAAATCATGACGGCGTTTAATATCATTATTCCTATCGACCGGAATCGATGTACGATCCTTTAGATCTATCTCAAAATATTTTTTTTTACTTCGTATAAAATGGAGTACAAAACTTATTAGCTCACCTTTTGAATAATTAGGTTATTTTAATTTTTAAATCATTTTTATATAATTTTAATTTTTTCTCTTTCGTTTTAAACGTAAATTAACGCGATTCCTGAAAATAATAAATGCAAATAATAATCATGCACGTAACGAAGTAGCAATTGCCAAATCAATAAATCTTTATCGACAATATTAAACCACGGTACTGCGCTAATTGTCGCAGTGATCGGTTGGATTAGTGCCAGGTCTAGACACTGTTAACATGTGATTAAATCTTTGTTTCGTTTTACTTCGCTTAAAACGTGCCGTGGTGAAACATACCCTGCACAGACTAAATATTAAAAAATGTGCTTTAATGGAGGAATATTTATAGGAAATATTAGACAGATTTTTGACATTACTTAATTAAGTATACATACGACACGGTTTAGGCTACAAATTTTACATGCCTTTATTTTAGGTGGTTAGGAATTTGAAAATATTGTTATGCGAGAAAAGGACAAATGCTAGCCAATAGCAGATAGGATGGTTGCCATGGCAACGGTGATTCTCAGCCAATGGGGAAGGCCTTCGTTGTCATTTGAGCATCTGAATTTTGACAATTGCAATTGAATGTTTTACGCAATGTAAACAATAAAACTAAATTCTATGAAACAAAAATAAATAGATTTTGAGCAATTGAGCACCAACGAACGTAGATATCCGAAAAATCTGAGAAATCTTTAATATTATATGTTATAAGTATATACTTTAAGACATAATTAGTTGGAACAATTTAGAGCGAATGGCGCGCTTTCGTTACCAAGTCAAGTATCAAATTGATTAGTGAGGGGACATGAACGTTGACGTTTTAATAAGGCTAGTGTTGCGCTGGTAAACCGGCACAGTGTCGGATTTTCTTCCTAACAACATCAAGAAATAACAACCTCATTTTGAATTATTAACGTGCCAAAACAATCCATATTGCAATATTACCCGCGTTATTGAATGTTTTAAATAAATTTCTCGGAATATGTCAGTTGGAATTCGTGTCAAATAAATTAGTCCATCCGGTTCACAGGAATGTTAGTACTAAAATTATTAGGTAAATTATTTATTTATAACTAATTTTTTGTGGTATTCTAGACTCTAGTAAACTACGTCTTTTTTCCAATGGTTTTCTATTCGATACCAGTGTTTGATGGATTATTTTCTTATAAAAATAATTAAAATGAATTAATACAAGAACTATGTAAACAAAAGTAACTTATTATCGAAAAGGAAAAGGACTTTATTTAGAAATTTTTATCGGAAATATTGTAATTATTTGTGACATAATGTGATCAGAATAAGTTTAAGCTTTACGAAATTAAACTTAAGCTCTTAGATAGATAGAAACATCATATAGAATCATCAAAATTATATCGCGTTCCGCTACTTCTTCAGGACGAAAGATGAAAATGTGTTTTGTAAAGTAGATCAGATCATTAGTTGGGTCAAAATGATCGTGAAGAAACTTTAAAGTTGTAATCACAAATACGCATTAGAATAAACTTCACGTAAACTGGAATATTTTGCTACAAATTCTTACGTTAAACGTAAATAAAACGTAAATACATTTAGAGCATGTCAAGGTACCTTGACATATTACGTTGAGTAAAGTTTGAGGCGCGTAGTTTGTGGTTGGTCGTATTGTGAATATTATTGTTGTTTGATTAATTTGATACTGGACGTAAACGACTAATTGTACTGCAATATTGTATTTTACTTTACGTCGACATTTGCGAGTTCCCTTAGTAAATGGCTAACGGGTAATAGAGTTCAAATATGGCGTACAAAACAAGGTCATTGTCGTGATCTCTATCCTAACACAATCACAATATTGATTGGTAATATTAATATGATCCGTAGGTTTGTTCTTGCAGACGTAAATTTGACTTTTTTTTTTTTAATTCGATTTAAGTGACGTCTGATGCCTTTAACTTTAAAATCAGATTTCACTGAATACGACAAGCTTTTACCGAGATGTTTTTTACCGAAGAATGTTTGGCAGCTTTTCGTGAAAAAAACTTCAAAGAAATCAGTGTAATTTATATTGCTTTTAACATTATTAAGCATTCCTCGGTTTTATATGATTAAATCATTTACTTTAAAAACAAAATTTAACTGAGAACTTGTAGAATCTTCTCGAAGTGAATGTAACCAGATAAAGTCAGACTTATCTAAAAAGATAAACTAAGCTTTTCTCTTGGTTCGTTTTGTTGAATGTTTCAAAAGTGCGTTCATACAATTAAAATCGTATAACGAACATGCTTAATGTACAAATTCCTATAGCATTAAACTTGGTCGAAGTTACATAATGGTGAATAGTGAAGCGTAATATATTTCGCTCGCGTTACGCGTCATATGATAGTTAATTTAAATAGAAAAATTAAAGTGGCATTAAGATATAAATAGCTGTCGATTCTTCGACATTAAAGTAGGTCAAGGTCATCCGACGTGTCTCAAAGATGTACAGCATATGCTGTTCCACGGCGTCAGCGCGCAGAATACCGGCCGCCTACGCGCCGCCCAAAATAAACCAGACAAGATCTTGAAACACTACACCGTTCGCATCGCCAAAAGTACTAACTCGCGCTTACAGCATACCTGAGATGAATACCTGGCTAGGTATGCTTTGTACGATGATGAGTGCACAGTCAAGGTCACAGGTCACAACACAGTCACACACTTCACTCGGGCGAGTGGTCGGGGCGCGGGGTGGTCGCGGGCGCGGCTACCGGTCGACTGGCGGCTCCAGCGGTGCGGCCACTGCGCGCTATACTTAGCCCAAAAGCGGCAGGACGCGCCACGGCTGCCATCACGTCAGCGCAAGGCCGCGGCGACACAACAAACCTTGGAGTGTCCTCGTCGGGGCTGAAGTGCTTGCAAGGTCTATTGTTTGTGACCAATCTCTTATATTTACAATTGCATTTCGGATAATTGTTATTGTCATCATATTTGTAACAACAATGTTTGTCTATGAATCGCACAAATGAGAAAAAGACAGAATAGAACGTATTCTTGCGATATATCACAAGAGAAGACTTCGACAGAGTTAACGAAGATACTTTACCAATGTATGAACAGACGATAAGTACAATCGCAAAGGTGAAAGCCGCAACGTAGGTAGGTTGATGTCAACCACTACCGACTTCCAGATTGCCTAGACTCTAACCGAAAGAGTAAGAAGGACGACGTATTACAAAATCAGCTGACCTGAAATTCTTCCTCGATAACGTTACTAGCTGATATACTATAAGTAAAACGCGATTTCCTCAACTTGAATATTCAATAGATTTTTGAGCAGTCATTTTGACAGTGGAACTTGATATTCAATTATTCATTGTGATAATGTGCCTTTTAATTGCGACACTCACACAACTGGAAATAGAATATAATGCGTATTTATTTGCAGAGTTGAGTCAGAGGCCACACGTGGCGGCAAGGGGCGCGTAGGCTTGTTGTTCAGAGTGACGTCTGAGTTCCCACACGCATTCTGAACATCTTTCTCATTTTAAAATGCTAAGAATTTAAAACGTAACATCCGCTGCTTCTACCAAGAACCCTTAGTTCGGTTACCACTTAATCACAGTATGAAAATTACATAATTTTATTATTACAAGTGTGGTGGAATCTACGAAAGGTGTAATATGAAAACCAGTAAGGATTTCTGTAACTTTATATTTGAGAAGACATAGACAAATAATTGTTTTAATACGAATTACGTTGGTAAAATTTCACTATAAGTAGAGTATAGTCGTAAAGCTCTCTGTTCGTAGCATTTGCTACGATATTCTGTAGCGCGAGCTTAACTGACCATTTCGTGGGTCGTCAATGAGTTTTCTATTGACAAAACAATTGTACGATAAAAAATTGTCGTTTTACTCATTCAATCTCATTAAAAACAGAGATAGCAATATGTTTTTTTCATCAAGTAGAAAATTTAGAAAAGATTTTGTTTTTTATGAATTATTAAAATGAAAAAAAATATGTATATGACGTACATTTAGTCTCTAGCATTGGTAACATTTGGCATTGCTCCACTCCATGCAAAAACATGTATGTTTCTGCTAATTACCTGTGGCAGAACGTCCTCGGCTTGCTAATCTGACACCTAGATCACATCTCACTGACCTTCCTTACCAAATAATACATTTAGGAACATTTTAGTAGCTTATGTAGGATAATTTAAAATTTAAAATAAACATCAACAAATCTATCTGTCACAAATTTTAGGTATATCGTAATTAGTGCAACTAAAGCATTAGCATGATTTTTCACAATATTTTTTGATAAAATAAAAAAATTATGATATCGCAAATTTTCACCAGTGTCAATAAGATTTTTCTGACTTTTTATCGGAAAAAATATCATCATCAACCTGTCCTTTTCCTTTTAGAGATCTGCACATTATGCACCACTCTTCCACACATCTCTTTCTGCCGTTTTATCTGAATTTACACATATTCATTCACATTCATACGCCTCATTCACACATTACATCCATACTCTCATCAGGTTTCCTTTACCTTTGTAAAATATATATCTTCTGTACTAAAATTATGCTTCAGTAAATTCCCACATATGAAAGTTTTACATAAAAGAAACGAGTGTATGAAATGAAGTATGAACAAGTTATGAACGATTACATCACAATAAAGCTCTACCATTTGCATACAATTTAACGATTCACTTTATTGCTACGAGTTTAGGTTATAGCCGTTTAGCTTTTATTATAATCGTCGAGGAAAATGAGTAGATTGCCCTCGATATGACGGCGGCAATAAGGCGGCAATTGACAGGGATCATACGGCGCGCGCGGGGACTATTCTAGTATTTGGCTACCTGCCTAGAATCCGACCGGCGCCCGCGCATATAGACTTGACTCTACGACATTTCAGAGCGGGCTCCCTCGTAGAATGATTGCCGAGTTAAATAATTTATTTTACAGTTAGCACAAAGAGATGAAAATCAGGTACATATATTACAGTGACTTCTAGAGTCTAAACTGTTGTCAGATTGTCAAACAACTCTATTATTTACAAATATTTTCTGTTTCTCTTTTAGTATTAATAACCTTTAAATTGTAAATTATATTTTACAGTAATGTATGAATATTAATTAGTGCGGCGTCGTGTAAAAAAGTAGTTGAAAAATATTGAATTTAACGTACACCAATAGACATCTAGCGGCGCACTTTGAAAATAATAAGGTTTATGTTGCCTCAAAGTAAAACAAGCATACAAGTATAGATGTCGCTACAGTGCACAAACTAAATACACCGACTGGATTTTAGTTTCAGGTAGAGTCTATAGATGGCGCTATAATCAATTTCGTTGTAACACAAAGTTTTGCAAATTATTTGTAGAAGTTGATCTTGATTTCAGATATTTGTAATGTAAAGCTTTGTAGACTGACCTGGAAGTATTTGTTAACGACAGGGTCTGTAGCGAGCAGGCGCTGCGCCCGCGGCTCGTCGCGGCAGTAGGCAGCGTGCTTGTCGAACTCTCGTTCCATGCGCAGCAGCGCGCGTCCCAGCAGCCGCGGCTCCCCCGCGTAGTACTTTAGCCCCTCCAACAACGAGCTGGATGACAGAAGCACAGAAAATGCAGTGGTGTTGATGCACAAGCAGATTAATTAACCCAACTTGTGCTGTGGTTTTACGTAAGCATACAACGTGCTTGATTGAAAAGCTTCATTAGGTAGGATATTCGCCTAAAACTAAACGGCCTCATTTAAATCTACGATAACATTGCTATATCCAATTACTTAATACTCTTTGACACTTCAATAGAGATTATATATTTCTTCGAGTGAGTTAGAATTCATACATACGTGTTATGGAACTCGCAGATCTGCCGGAAATTAGAGAAGAGCAGTTCACGGTTTTCAAAGACTGGCTTCGGTGTGTGCGCCTTGTCCAGCGGGCGCATGTAGCGTGCTGCCACCTGCCGCATGTCGCGTCCGAACTCCTCCTCCGTCTCGATCAGCTCGCGCACCACCGCCCTGACACACACACAAATACATACAGAACCCAACACAATGAACTGAAATTATTTGCCGCCCTTAGTTATTTAGTGGTTACTTGAACACAACTTTATTGTAGATTTAGTATACTAAACCGCCCCTAAGGGCTTTACTTAAAAACCATTTAGTCTATAAAATAATTGCTAAAACAATAAATATGAACCTACAAAGTAAAAAAAAATCTTTAAACACACCTGTATAATATATTAATTTATTATTTATTAATTAGGATAGAAATATCCAGTCAAAGTATACAGACTGTGAATAACACACTAAAAATTATTTTGGTCATTTGTAAAGCTTTAGAGCAATAGCAATTACCCTGTGATTTGCCAAAGTGCACTTCACGCGACTTAAACATGAGGATCAATCTTGTCACCTGTCACCTTGTCACCTATCACTTGGCCACATATAATTACTGTATACCTTGATTAATTTTGTGTCAATTGTGAACTACACGACAAGTTGTTTTCGTTACCTTGGTGCAGATGGATTAATGCACTGAATAAATTAAGGTTTAATATCGGATAAAGAAAACATCGTGATGTAACCTGCACATATCACGTTAAGGAATACGCAGTGGGCCTACGTGTTTAGTGGTTTAACCTACCCATTTTAAGCAAAAGGAAAGAATATTTTATGTGGTTTAAAGTCTCGGTTAATAAGTTTCGCCCTAAATTGTATTAAATTTTGTTACCCAAATAAAATAAGAAACTTATTTCTGATGCAACATCTTAAAGTAAAATACGTTTCCCACGAAATTAACACGTAATGTACAAAAACGCTCGTATATTTTAAAATGGTCACCCTGTATATCACTGAGCCGACGCAAGTGACAAGTATTAACGAGCTTCTTAATTCAGGTGCGAGTGGAAATAAAACCAAAAGAATCGTGTTGCAAACGACGTTAAATTTAATAAAAATGAAACCTAAACATAACACCCTTGTTGTGTCTTTTTCCATGAATCTATATCTCAAATTAATTCAAGTATATTTATACAATATGTTCAACTGTTTACCAACTTGGTAAAGGGCAAAGACGATAAACTCGGAATCTAGGCGCTAAAATACCTTAAAAATGAATTTTATTTAACAAAAAGTAACATAAATTTATGGAATATCATTATTGTATTTTCAAATCAATATAACTAAAGTTATATCGCATGACGCATTCAATATTGCAACATTATATTCATGACGCAATAGTGATAAATATATAAATGCACTTCCTGAATGTTGTCGGTGACAGGTTAACACTGTAAGTGCTGGCTGGATAGAAATTAATGACACGTACTAATGTGCAACGGAAATAGCGAACATTCACAAACGGGAAAACCGAAAAGTAATCGAGAAACCACTTCAAGTGGCTAACCAAAACATTTAATGAGAAATTCAATAAAAAATACTATACAGAGAAATCTCTGCTTATTGATTTTTGGAACACATAATGACTACAAAAAGTTGTTTTCTTCTACGTTTATCATTTATCAAATTTTTATGACAATATGCGTATAAAGGCTCGCCATATACGGTCTGTTTCAAGCATATCTGAAGCTTATCTCAGCTTGAAGCTGTCCGTGTACAGCAGCCCTGTTGCATGCATGAGTTTTAGTCTCTGTCATGTGATATTTACGTCGAAAGTTCTAATATTTGAGTCGTTAATCCGTCGTCACGGTGTTTATTTTACACACCAATATATTATCTTAGAAATATTCAGAGCAGTTCCAAGTAAATAAAAGTATCCAGTAGTTAACATCTCCAGGGGTCATAAATTATGTCTATGCGAGCCGAGTGATGGCCAGTATTTTGCCAGTTGGTTTACGAGGCAATTAAGTTCGTATACGGAGCGTGCGGAATGTTATGCGCCACTGGTTGCTATTTACACGACGGACTCGATGACCGTTTAAATAACAGTGGGTCGTTTAATAAATTGCTATGTAGCTATTGATAGATTTCAAATTATATTGCACGTTGAAACAATTGAATGTAGCAAGAAAACTATGCTTAGGATATTATTTAGAAGTAGTAAGAAGGAAAGAATCATACAAAATCGAAAGTTACAACAGCGCGTTCAATCATACGAGTGAATTTTGCTTCTATGTTGAAGAGTGAAAGGTAAGATAAAGGAAGACCTAATAATCAGACTTAATATACGTAAGTTGCACTTACTGCCTCCTGGCGGCGATTGCTATCTGGTCAGCTTCGGGGCGCTTCTCCTTGAGCAAGCTGGCTGGCACCAAGCCTTGGCGCGTGCGCAGTTGCCCCTCCTGCACGTCTTCGACCACACGCACCAGCCATCTGCAACACAACAACAATTATAAGTTACAAATATAACAGTGAGAACGACAGACTGATTACCAAAGTGGTTCAGGGATACTGGAAATAAAATTGAGTTTCTAGAATACAGTAGAATTTAGTATCAGAAGGTTCATTAAAATAAGTAAAATTTTGTCTTTAATATTTACTTTTAAAAATATTATGTTGAACTAGTTTTTTAATGTTTTACAATAATAAAAATTAAAAAGACATGTCGTACAAAGAGAGTTATCTTTCATCAGAAAAGATTTAGTTCATCGCACATCATAAAGCGGCGAGCGCTTTTATCGCGCCGCCGGGGACATACGTTATTTCATTATCCAATGAATTATATTTGTATCGGGTACAGTCACTTATAACGTGGCTTGTGAATCGAAAATAGGTCGCCAAAATATAAGCATAATTTTGGAAATCGGAAACACAAAAATAGGTTGTTGTGTGAAAACAAAAGATCAAATACAAACTCTATTACATTTAAAACACGTTGTATTTTTAACATATCGTGAGTTATCTTTTGCCTCTGTTTTACAAAAGTACACAAGATGGATAATATGTTTGTTTACATGTGTATCAACAGTGGAAACTTTAGACAGTAATCGAAAAACGTTTCAAAACTCGTAAGTATAATAGTTTACAAGATGCTGCGAATTTAAACTGTACTACTTTCTTTTGATAGTAGTGTAGTATAAACCTCACTCGTAAACACACCTGACGTTGTTACTAAGATTTATCGGATTTGCACGTCTGCGTATAGAAAACTATTGTTCTCTAGAACATAAATCACAGGCGAACGGTCGGCGAACTGGTGAGTTATTTCCTACATCGTAAACTTCCAACGCTTAGTAGTCTGTTTATAGATTTGCATTTACTAAAGGATAAAACATACAAAGAGTTTTCACTGCAAGACACTTGTACAAAAACATATTTACTAATCTTACTTCTTACTAATATTTTAAATGCGAAAGTTAAGATGGGTGGATTGAAGGTTGTTTGTTTGGAGGTATCATCGGAAAGGCTCAACAGATCTTGATAAAATTTGGCACAGACGTAGAACATAGTCTGGAAGAACATATTGAGTTTTGTTTTTAATACCACGCGGACGGATACGCGGGCGATAGCTAATATATACATAGATGAATGAATCTACATAGGTTAAAAGATGTTTAAGTTATAAGGTCATGTAAAAATAAAAATATAAAAGATTATAGGTAATTTTTTTCTTCAAATTGAGCAACAAATCTTTTGGCATATTTTTTACGATCAATGTACTACAGCGAAATACATATGTCAACATCGCGAACTAAATTTATTTGAAGCTGAAGATAGAACTTGTGAAATAAATACTTGGCTGCATTACACCAAATTAGAAATTCATTATTTTATTACATTTGTGATAGGTTTTTGCAATGCATTGCACATGTTTAAATAAACAGTACCTAATATGTTTATTTACATACTAGCTGTCGACCACAACTCCGTCCGCGCATTAATATAAAACTTATTTAGTAGCCTATGTGTCTTTCAGATTATATTATATCCATGTAGCCGTTCTGGAGATATCTTCAAACAAACATCCATCCAAACATTCGCATTTATAATATTAGTCAGATAGTAGAAGTATATTGCAATGCAGTTTGTATGTATGTTACTTATTACAATTTAATTTTAAAGCAAATACATATTCTTGACCGGTTAAAACATTGCAGAAAGCAAGCATTAGAACTTTTCCCGTTTCTGAATTGCGTATATTTACTAACCGTGGTTAGTAACAAAGTGGTAGTTAAAGCTATAGTTGAGCCACGAGTGAGTTATGTTTACGTTAGTACGATATTTCGAGATGTTACAACCGGGGAGCCGACCCGCCGTCCCCGCAGCAGCTGGCCCACGAATTGATGACTACAGAAATAAATCAAACGATGTAGCAATATTTAAAATTATATTAACTTTTGAACACTTTAACACAAATACTAAATAAGGTATATCCTATTTGAAGATTTTAAAAGAGTAATTTCAATGTTATTAACAAAATTCATACTTAAAGTAAACATAATAGGGCAAGTTTATAAAACCGTTTAATTAAAGGCTATTTAACATTTCGTATAATTCAAACATTTGCTTAACTTTTTGATAAAAATATGCAGTTTCAGAAGCGGCAGACAAGTTTTAATAATATAATAGTTAAGCCCTTGGAAAATGTCAGTTTTTAAAATGGAATGAAGAGATATATTCCGAATGTTGACTTACAAGCGTTGACAGTGGGTGTCATCAAAACAGTGCTCTTGATCATTTAGGAACATATTTCGCCTTAACGTTTAATGTCCAACGAATGATATAGAAACATTCGAGTAAAGTGGGTCATTTGACGTCAGATATATCTGAAGATCCATTTTTGATAAACAACTTTATGTAAATTTTATGTTCAACATATTATTTCGTATCATAATAAAGTTATTCTTGTCGAATCTCAGTCGTTAACCTCTAAGGTAAAGTTGTAAAGTAAGTTTATTTTTGTACTAAAACCAAACTTTTATATAACAAAATGATCGCTTTGTTCATTTACTTTAATCCGCATTAATGTACGCGACGTGACGCGCGTGACGTGACCCGCGCGCCGTGACGCGTGACATGACCCGCGCGGCGTGACGCTGGACATGACATGCGCGACTTAACTAGTTTACTTCCTGAAATGTGAATTTTTAAACAAGAATATAGGTCGGCCTAACAGACAATGTATACTATATAGGGGTCAATGAACTCGCGGATTTAGATTGACAGCTTCTGAAGATCAAAGATTGTAACTACTGCCAATGACTCAAGGATTGGGGGCTTTGACTGCGGAATAAAAGATCACAGGTTCTTATTTTTATAAGTAATACCAGACACTTCAAGAATTTAGAGGATTTAATATGAAAATTATGTTACTTTTCTATTAACATACTTTAAAGTGGTTTCTATAAAAAAACTTTAAATCTGTGAAACTATTTCACTCTTAGATTGGGGGATCAAGCGATTAACACATTTAAAATTGCAACATCATTGTAGGTTGCCGGCGCTGGACTGGAATTATACATTTAATAATAAACAATCCCGGATAGACGACGATAATCCAAACAAAGTATAAATAAAGCATTGAATAGCTAGGATTAACAATTTCAAATGAGGACAAACCGTGTGTTTTAATCTCATCCCGACTGAAAGCTAAATTATCAAAGTAATTTTTAAAAAATTGTCGAGTTAGTTTTACCTAATGTAACTACTCCTTTAGCATAGTAAAGGAAAGCTTGATAATTACAAAAATACGTATAAGCAATTATAAGTATTGTTTAATTTACGTGCAAAAGCTCAATTAGCGATCAGATGCGTTGGAATTTGGTGATCTGTATCACTGCTACATTTGCCACATGCAGAAAGGCAGGGTCACTTCGATTTAATTTAACTCGATTGATTTATATTCAAAGTACTCAAAATAAACGCATAATTCAAAACGTTTGCGTCAACCCTGGACTTTGCGTGTCCTTTTCAATTCTTAGCCGACATCAAAATGAAGGTTATTAATTCTGTATTATTTTATTTTTATTTGTTTATTTACACTTTTTATATTAATTCAAACGAAAATATTTAACTTTACTAGGTTATTTTTAGGGTTCCATACTTCAAAAGAAAAAAAACGGAACCCTTATAGGATAACTTTGTTGTCCGGCCGTCTGTCTGTCAAGACCCTTTTTTACTAAGAACAAGTGTGTTTACGGAACGTAATAAAATATTAGTCCACTGCTGATTAACATCGTATTTGTAAAAAAAGAGAGGGGAGGTTAGGCAATAACTTGTGTATATATCCAAAGTCAGTAAAACCAGACGAAGGTTACTATATCCGAGCTTTTAATATGTTAAGAACTATTTTTAAACGGTCAGTAAACTGCGGTTTAAATTCAAGCCCGCGGGAAAACAGTAAAAGGTTTCCGGCACGATTTATTTAACGTGTGAGTGTTTATAGTCATAAAGTAATTTGGAGCACGAGTTTCTGGCCAGTATACAGAATAAATAAACAATTTACGACAGAACTCTACGGAGATTTGGTTAGACATAGGATCTTGTTTAATGATCAATATTAAAAGGTTAAATTCCGATTGTTATAATGTCTAATGGCTATCAAATTCTAGTATAGTTTTGTGGTTGGTGTATACTTGTTTAAATTTGTTTCTTTTTCTTTAAAAAAAATAGCATTTAACAGTGGTAGAGCCCGCTTTAACATCTTCGCACGAATCGGCCCAGCTCGCCCGGTGAAATACCACGACCACATAGAAGACAGGCGTGAAGTGGAAGCAATTTCGCGTTTCGTCTGATGAGTGTGCGTTCCGGTGGCCTAATTTAGTAGTCCTCTTTCCTTTCCCACCCTTTTTCTCTTAAAGAAAGTATGGGAAGTGGAAGTGGACTTCCGGATGGAAGGTGAAAATATTTTCTTTCTGTGCATCCTCTCCTCCGTCGATTAAAGGTAGGCAACGCATATGCAATTGCGTATGTCCATGGGCAACGGTCACTTCGCTATTCAGCGATTTCAGGTGGCCGCTCGCTCGTTTGACACCTTACGATATACAAAAAAAAAGCATATTTAAATAGTAAAATTCAAGCAAAAAAGCAACATTTTATATCTACTTGTGTGAAAATATAAAAGTAAACTTTTAAGTGACACGCAATGAAATTAAATTCAGTACAAATCTAGTACAAAACAAGCGGGTTAATGAACTTAACATCTAAGATCTGTGCAACATCTGACACATGTAACAACACATCAAAACATCGCTTCCTCATTCCGGCACAATGTCCTAATTCCAAAATATAATGAACAATTAGTAACGCAAATATAAAATGAAAAATGTCTAGAGTAATTTCTTATGAGTATAAGAAGTAAAGGTTATTTACGAACTTATACTAAACGCATAGAAATTTGCTGCAGTTCGACCCATTGGCTAATTCAAGGCGAGGGACAGGAGCTAAGTGTCCAAAACTCATTAGAATTATTTAGAAACCTTGATTAAGCCCCTTAAGATGGAATATAGATCCTTGCCGGCCTATAACAATTGCTGGTTCACGCCTGGCTTCAAACTTTTCTATGTGTATCAGATGCTCTTCTCTTGCATACCGCAAATTATCGGAAATTTCCCTTCACGCCAGCAATCGGTTGCGGCTGTTGGCTCGTCGTTTACGAGCCGAGACGCCACACTCATTTCTCCGATCGTTATGTTTTATTCGTGTGGGAGTGCGTATAAAAGTTTTATATCGCACTTTGTCTGTTTGAACGATTACTCTGTGGTGTCAATAGATTAGTAAGTTTTGTAATTCTCTTACAGTTATTTGCTGTAGTTATAAGAATTAAAAATTTTGGTAATAAATCTGTCACCAGCAAATATCAATGTTATGAACAGAGCGAGGAATAAAACAGTTTGATTTTTGTAACACCCGAGGGGTTAGAGAAAGTGCATTCGCTTCAAAGCGATTACATAACGGACTTCAAAAATGTATCGAACTGACAATAAGTTCCACTAATTCATAATAAGTCACGTGATTGTTGCACGTCAGTTCCATACAATTATTCAAACTTTCGTGAGACATTATACTAAACTGATATATAAACACGGCTAAACACCGGACGTATATACGTGAGTGTTAAGCCGTGTATATCAGTTTAGTTCCATACAATTTTGAAATTCGCTAAAGAATCGCTTCGGAGCGAATGCACTTTGTCTAACCTCTTGTTCGATTTGTCTTTTTATGAAAGTTTTCTTTGGATAGCAAGATTGTAATCTATATTTCAAATAACTATCCAAAAACTGTACAATTTCTGCATTGCCCGTGTTTGCCTCCCACACAACCCGCGACATGTCCCTGAAGAATACATCTCGTCTAATACTGTTTATGAAAAAATTGAACATCTCGTTGACAACTTCGAGCTCTAAATATAAATCTAGAACAGACAGAACGCGAAAAAAAACCTTTGAAATTGTATATCGTCTCACAAAAGAAGTGTTTTCATTATTGTTGGCAGTAATGAACTGAGCTGCAGTTTATCTCCAGTATAAATAGTATTCAATAGCTATTTAATATAAACCATCAAATCATTAAATTAATTAATCTTATTTGTAATTTTTTTCAACAAAACTTCAATTTAATTAATTTAATATATATTAAATTGAATTTAAGTGGTCATGGAACATATCTGGATTAGCTTTTAAATTTCTTTTTATTATTACGAGTTTGTAAAGTGGCCGAGCTCTTCAATTATATTATTTCTCAATGGCTCAATGGCCATAATAAATGGAGGACATAATACAATTTATAATTATAAAGATTTTTTAAAATAATATCATAACTGTGAACCTTCTTTGCCGATAGTTTTGTCCAAAAATACCTTGACATCCATGTCTTTTCAAGAACAATTAGAAATAATGACTTTATATTATGTGTTTTTTTAATATGAGTAAACATGTATATAAAGTACCATTGGTAAGAATTCTCCCTCAAGTACCAGCATCTGTTTTTCGCACGAGAATCGTAAATTGTTCCCTTTTGATTGTCATACTCGTATCAAATACAAAATTAAATATTCCGAAAATTCAGCCAATTGTAATAAATAAAATGTGAGATAAATAGAGCCGCCTTCGCAAATAATTCGCTTGAACTCCGTAGATTTGTAATAACTAGGGTTGTCAAGCTCGAGATATGTCGCGTAAATAATAATTTTTTAACAAATACAATTTATATTTTAAAATAAATAGAATTACTAAATTATGTATTATAATATAGTCAAAGGTAATTTAAAACTAAATGTCTCATCATCAACCTGCCCTCATCCCTATCGAGGGTCGGCACAGTATGTAGTACTCCTCCATACATCTCTATCAGCCGTCATATCCGAGTCTACCCGCTTCTTACGCATATCCTCTTTCACACAGTCATTCCATACTTTTTTTTATAACTAAATATCTACATACATCTATTAAACTCCATAAATCTAAATTAAATAAGATATCCTTGTTCTCATTATCGTCAGCTCACTATACGTCCCCACCGAGGGGCTCGGAGCCTACCCTAAGTTAGGGGTGACTAGGCCATAGTCAACCATGCCAGCAAAGTGCGGGTTGGTTGACTTCACACATATCTTTGAATTTCTTCTCAGATATGTGCAGGTTGCATCACGATGTTTTCCTTCACCGTTAGAACGTCGGATAAACGTACATATGTCGGAAATCGAAAAACACATTGGTATATGGCGGCTTCGAACCCAGGACCTGCGGATTACAAGTCAAATGCTTGACCCCTGACCCATAGTCAGACAAAAAAAACTTAAGTTCTTAAGATTTGCATGTTGAATTTTTAATAAAAAAATCACAATCGGCCCATAGCCCAATGGTAAGTAGGTAAATTAACTGTGTTGTTTTTCCTTTATCGTCAGTTGTCAGAAATATTTTTAAGGAAGTCGACAACCCTAGGCAGGACCTATCAGTTTTATTACATCAGATTAGATTTATGTTGCGGACAATATCTTGATGAGTTTACATTCACCAGCCGCTGGGTGGCGCGCGCGGGCGTTTACAAATTAATTCTTAGACTTTATCTATTATTCACGTAGCCCCGTGATTTGTATGGAATTAGGCTAAATTATTCAAGGAAATACATATTATAATACGAAATAATTTTCATTATACATTCTGACCTTTTGCCACACATTTTTTTTTATAACAGAAGGGAGCAAACGAGCAGCGGGAACACCGAGGTGTTAAACGACGCCCATGGACATCAGCAATACCAGAGGCACCGCAGATGCGTTGCCGACCTTTGAGGAGGTGATAAGCTCAATTATTAATACATTTTTGCCACACAATTTTTTCTTTGTTACAATCTTATTCCTAAGATGTTTTCTAGATGACATTTACTGTCTTCTGATTTATGTGCTTGTTGTTTTAAGTTGTAGTTTTCCTATGGAAGGAAAAGGAAACTCATCGTTACTATGCCCAGCTGTTTACTTCAATAATCGTTGGTTTCTGAGACTAAAATCTTTGCATATAACATATTGTCGTCCCTGTCACTTTCTTTGATAAAACAAACTTAAAATTATTATGTAATCTTTAATGTAATCTAATCTTTTGTTTTCATCATAGATATTTCTTTCAGAAACCCATGGTAAGAGATGTTATATTTTGTAATTTTTTAAAAATTTGGCATTACTGATATTTGGCATAGATGCTAGTAGGATATTTGGTCTAAGAAAACTACGAGTTTAATATAACAAGTTATTTGTGATATTTTTATCATTGTAAATGCACTATAACCTCAAAACTTTGTGACACGAAGTGTATAATATCTCGATATAAGTTCGAACAGCTCTGGGAATAAATAACGTGTTCTTGTTTAATCTTGACCGAGATTTGCGAGATGCATTCGATGTCGCGATAAATCTACGTCAACCGCATACGACGTAACGCGCCCTCTGGAGATGTATTATATTCCAAAATAGGTTTGGATACGAAATATCGATGGAAATAAATCCATCTTAAATCACTCAGCGTCGAACACATTTTGCTACTTTTATATTTACGAATGAAACTTTTTAATAATACTTTTTTATTGCCTAATCTGTGACGTCAATGGTCAGTGTCATTTTACTATTCTGAACGGAAGAGATGGAAGGAAGAAAAATAAGACTTGCCTGCGGCCTATACATTATAAAATTCTCTATATTCAAAATAAAAAAGACAAGGCTGTATGGCTTAGTTCCTTTGCCTGCTCTTTCGAGTGAATAATAAAAACAACAACTATTCTGAACTGTCACTCTCGCCCTCTCCACCTCTCTTTCTCTCTATCGCTCTCTCTCTTTCTCTTTTACGTTATCGTGTTATACTTAGCGTGATTTTATTAAGTAATAATTATTAACCATGGTACCATGACCTACCAAAACTGCATATAATTGTGACTACTACAGAATTACGTTGAGCATCGTTAATGTACGTAATTAGCTTGAAACTCAAACAATGTTACCATGTGCATGTAAATTCGCATTAAAATGTAACATTAGCAACGGGGTCATGTATACAACATAATAAATCACATTGTTGCGCAACACTAGGCTTGTTAAGTGTTAAAATATATGAACTTTTGGCAGAGCCGCTTTCCTAAGGCCATGAGCACACAAACGATATTTCCTTGAACGATGAAAAATGTGTATTATAACAAAATGTTTTCATAATCATGGTTGCAATAAAATTAACCCTTATTGTGGCGAGATTTCTTTTTTGAAGAAAAGCAAAAAACAAAGTGTTATAAAATGTTATAATTTTCCTTGTAAAAGTTTTTTGTAAAGTTGTTTCCCCGTGCGATAAAAAGTTAGTGTGCACGTAGCCTTATACACTTCAGTTTGCGAGGCGGCGACTGTGCGACTGCTGTGTGATATTTTACTGTTGTATTTGTATTTGGGGCATTTGTCTGATTTATTTTGGTCAACGTAGACGGACTACGGCACTAAGTAGCTCCGATATTATTTACGTCTATTTCTTTGTTTGTTAATAACGACAAAGAAATGACATAAAATACTCCGTCAGCTTCTTGCTGAGTTACATTGATGTTATATTTTCAAATTTACCGTGGGCTTCCACTGCTAAAATATATGTGTAAATTATTTGTTATCTGAGATTAAAAATGAGCGAGATGGCTCGATTATCCAGGACAAAGAAAACCCATGTTTATTTGAATCATAACCTCGTATAAAAGCTCTTTCTCCAATATCTAATGGATTTAGTTTACAAAAATAAAACGTAATAATAGCATAGGCAGTTATTGTGCATAACAGTTAGTTGGCATAAGGGCAAGGGCACACAACTAGTATATACCTTTCTCCATTCTCGTTCGCATTCTTCGTTCTTTTCGGATGATTTTTCTTCGGTCGCACGGCGAGTTTGTGTTTAGCTGCCGAGGCGTCGAGGAGTTGTGCACTGACGTCTAGCTCGTGGTCCACACGCGGCTTCCTGAAGGACGGGAGAAGGGTTTACATAATGGATACAGCATGCTTGTTCTGAGGTATATAGGAACAAAGAAAAGACTAAGTAAACTACTGGAATGATACAAATCAGAATATATAAGAATACTAGCGGACCCAACAGACGTTGTCCTGTCTCCACGTCTTTAATTTGAATAAATTAATATGAAATTAATATTTGATGAAAATTGTGAATCTAAACGATTCCCAGATCCCCTTGAACACACACAAAAAATTTCATCAAAATCGGTCCAGTCGTTTGAGAGAAGTTCAGTGACATACACACTCACAGAAGAATTATATATATAAAGATATGAAGAGAATGAAGAGATAAAATTTGCTCAGATCATAGCAGATTTTTTTTTAATTTATGTTTATCTCTTCTTAATAAGTGTATTTATAGTAAAGAAATGATTGTTTTTGTGTAAATATCATACATATTTATAACTTAAATATTAAAAGCTCCGATCGTCTTTTTTAACCGAAATATTTAGTTGCCATGGAAAGTTGGATAAGCCATTTTAGTGTTGAGTTTTTTAAAGCTTTTTTATCCAAACATTTATTTGATATTCTATATGAAAGGTGTTAAGTTTTTCAATATTAATACAAGTATATCTCATATAACAGTTTACAACAGATGTTAGAAATGTTTGTGTTTATTATTCTAGTGAATGAGGTCGAGGCAAAATATGTGCGAAATTCAAACACCTAGTTGAAATCAAACGGACAGTGTAATTGTCTGTATGTATATTCAATCAACGTATATGTGACTTCTTATTGTTATAGACTAAACCAACAGACATAAATCTTCTGTTATATAAGCTTTTTACTTAATTTTAATCTTAATTTAATTACATTAAATCATACAAGATTGATACTGGCATTCAACAACGTAAGATTTGACTTTATTCTAAATTCAAAATAAATCACGCTGGCAATCGAAAGAACGGGAAGTCGTTGATTGAAGGTAATTTAAAAATGTCACTTTTTCAAATTAAGAATATCTTTTTAATCTGCGGTTGAGAGCTCGTGGCTAGAAATAAATTAAAAAGTGTTGAGTTTTCTTGAGAACGAGTGTTTCCTTTCCATCAATCACGTTGGACGGGTTGGGACGGTGCGTGGCGACGCCTCAATGTCAGGGTCCGGCGACTCTCCGGTTACCTTGAGTTAAAACGAACTTACAGGTTTTCAAGTGTCACTGAGAGATGTCAGGCACAGATTCAGTATTTTCTGGATGTCTCTATAGAACGGGTGATTCAAATGCATACAATATGTAGTTTCTAAGCTTCAGGAAGAAAAATCCAATTTTATATTAAAGTTTTAATCACCTGTAGGGTTTTCCACAATTTCTTTTGATTTAATAAGTAAAAGAAAACGGACGATAAAACGGTATAATTTTAATACAAAACTTAAAGAAGCTCGAAAGTTCACTCGAAAGTTCGAGCAAGTAACAACAAGAGAGCATTAAGCTAAGTTTTCATGGCGGACGGTGGCTATTTCAGTGCGGCCCAGAAAGTACGTGACGTCAGCAGTGGCACAGTTTCCAGCGACCAGCCCCCCCCCCCCCTTCCACCACCGCCTCGCGCACATCACACGCTCCAGAATAACATTTAGCTGGTAATTCTAACAGTTAAGCAAGAGCAATGCACTGATGACTTACATTAAATCTATTGGTATGCATTCTTTTATTATATCTGCAGCCAATATTAGTTATCGCCCGCGACTACGTTTGCGCAGAGTTAATAAAAAAAAAACCTTATTAGTAGTCTATGTATTCTTTCATACGATTTTCTACATCTATACCAAATTTCATCCATACAGTCGTTTTGAGCATAACTTGTAACAATTTTGCTTACATTCAAACATTTGGATATCGATTGGGATATCGTTCTAATAAAAGTTACACGCCACAGCCTAAAGTTCACTTTGAAAGTTCTTTCAAACTTCAAAAGTTCTTATAGAGATGGATATATCTGAAGTATTGTTAGTATTGAACTTTAACATTAAACAAATATTAGGCCGTTTATACTAAAGGTTTAAACCTTAAAGAAAAAAAGAAGCTTTCTTTCTCTTAATTTATCAGACTTCTACCGACAATACTAAGAGTAAAGTTTTGCATCAAGTATCGTGGGTTGGTGCTATTTTCTGCAACGAACAGAAATAGCGAGAAGAACAAATAAATATGCCGGTAAAATGTTGGTAAAATGAAAAGAGTCTACCTGACAGTGTTGGAGGGGAGCCAGGTGAACGATCTCTATTCGGACGGCACATTGCCTTCTCAGAAATCATTAGGTGGGCGATACACGGATGATTTTCATTTTTATAAAATCCCACCATCATTCTTACCTGACTGTGACTCATGTTGGAAAGAAAAAAATGGAAAATTTATCTTGTGATGAGACAACGGGAGCATTTATGTCACCGACGAAGTAAATTGTTTGGATAACAGAATGATAATGTTCAATGTCCGTGAATAGTTGTTCCATTTAATATTTAAATGGTTTATTTGATTTCTTTATATTCTGAGAATCTTAAAGATTCTTGATAAAACTTTTTTCATAGGTAAATTATTAAATATTATATAAACTAACCTATATCAGTGCAGGAATTATTTAGTACCTCCTTCTTCATTTTTTCTTATTATTCGTAGCGACTGTGTTTCTCTACTCAATCATTTCATTTTAAAAGCAACCTCCTTGAGATAAATTTTACTACTTGAATTAAAACTTCTTTCTCTCAGTTTCACCCTCGATAATTCTATAAGTAATTTCTAGTTTATATCTTATATCTTTAAATGAGCAACTCTTGTATATACATATATATATAATTGGAATCTCGGAATCGGCTCCAACGATTTTCATAAAATTTAGTATATAGGGGGTTTCGGGGGCGATAAATCGATCTAGCTAGGAATCATTTTTAGAAAATGTCATTTTATTCGTTTTTATCGATAATCAACTTAAACATAAACTTAACTTTTTCTATCGGTAAGATCGAAAAATATTATTCATATCATCATTTTATTAGTAATTCGTACTTAAATATAATATAATTTCCAAAAAACACAATTAAAAAAAAATACCGAGCAAAGCTCGGTCATCCAGGCACTATACGTAATATGTTTATTTATTCGATGCAATCTATGAGTAGCCATTGATCGCATACGCTTAACAACAACTTTGACGTTATGATTATATTGTTTTTTATAATTCACATTCGTTTTATTACAATCAATATTCAGAATAATTAACTTTTGCTAATTAACCTGTAGCAAGATTTGCCACGGTCGTTATATTTCATTTGGCGCGTCTGAGGAAGTAAAGCCAAGTTCCATTCAAATATAAATCTATGAACAACGACCTCTAATTGGCGCGCCTCGGTGCAGAGCGCGACCCACACAATGCTGTACACAATCAAAATATTTGCCAGAATTGATTGATGACCGAGCTCGTCAAAATGTCATATAGAAGACGCCAAAAAACGGTGTCATCATTCAATGTCGCATTCGTCCATATCCAACCGGAGTCTCGTGCGATGCTTCGACGTAGCTTATATAAAGAAACTTTACACGAGGGCAGAATAGTAAAAAAGAGCAGTGGAAAGCTCAGTAATATTTGAACACATAACGCGTGTGCGTTAAAACAGTAGCAGTACTTACACTGTCTGCTACTCTGCGTGATTATTCTATCCACGTGTAAAAAAGCCTAGTTCTCTGTCAGTTAATATTAAAAATGAAGTTCATTTCGTCCATTAATCTTTAGAGCGACTAAAAATATCTGCTGACACGCTGGCTGCTCGAGTGCAAAGAACTAAAGATATATAATGTACCACATATGTGATTGCTTTCATCTTTGTAGAAATTTATCTTTTAGCTTCAAATATCTATAATATTAACTATTTAAATTTTACTCATTTAATAATTTTATGTTCTATCTTTTATTAAACAGCTAAAGCCAACAACAAATATATTTGGTACAATAAATATATTTTTCTTATTCGCCCACATTTTATTTTGTATTTCGTTCAATGAAGTAAAAGATAAGTTATTTTTCATCAAGACAAATCATGATACTATCAAATCGTATTTTAGAATCGTTTAAATAATAGAATCAAATTTTAACACCTTAAATCAACGTACAAATGTATTTACTTTTAGTTTGGAAATTAAAATAAAACAAAATGAAGGAATATCTGAAGAGAATTTCAAGATCTTATGTTCAGAATTGAACAGTTGACTATGGCCTAAATCACCCTTAACTTAGGGTAGGCTCCGAGCACCTCGGTGGAGACGTATAGTGAGCTGATGATGATGTTCAGAATATTACGTATGTATATGACATCTCATCACACATATTTCAAACATATTCGTAGTATAGTATAAAATCCTCTCTCAATAAACAAAGAAGTGACTCCATCAACCCGCCCTTATCCCTACGAGGAGGGTCAGCACAGTATGTACTCCTCCATACATCTCCATCAGCCGTCATATTTGAATTCACGTCCTTCTTACGCACATCCTCGTTCAAACAAAGAAGTGTGTAGATAATTATATTAATTTATACAGAGATAAGAAGATTAAATTAATTTCCTATGACGTAGAATTTATGTTCATTTTATAGAGGCGTGAGAATGTGATAAAGGTAAAGTGTCGTTAAAACATTTTTATATTCACGTAATATTACAATATTTTTTATTTTATTATTTGATCGTCTGACCACTTAATTCCTTAATTTTCCTAAAAAGTTTTCGTTTTTGTTTCGATACTAATATATTTTTTATGGCAACAGAAGTTTTAAAAAATATGATTCCAACAATAACCACAGATAACTAAATTGTATTTTAAGCTAGTAAAAGATATATATTTAAAAGAAACTCCATAGATTTTATTGTCTTTATTTGTTACATTACCTTTGTTTTACACGTGGATAGTCGAGCGATCTGATACATTGTGCGCAAACGACTAAATATATCCAAAAGTAAATACTAAAGTTATCACAATAATAATATCCATCACAACAAGTAGATTATACATACAACATATACTTCCGGCGTTGCTTGCTTCAAGCGAGATATTTACAATGATAGTGTGACTTCGCCTTTATTTTCTTCAATTCCTCTTCTCATAATTAAGAGATCAATAATAATACATTTTGTATGTGGGTACACTAAACACATAGTCCAAGGAGGGACCTCTCGATTGGAAGAAATGATTCTCGTAACTATAAACCCGCCCTCTGTACCTGCATCAATAAGGGAACTATATTACGTAACTGGTGATGATTGTGATGCAGATGGTGATGAATTAGATGATAGAATAAAAATGAAGGTAATAGTGTTCGAGATGGCGATGTTACGTAAGCTGGAGCGACGACCGCGCTCTAATTTTATCCAGCGCCGATGTCCGCCACTTTCGAATGCAATAAAACGCATTCTTGACATTTTGATTTTATTTACACTATTTTGGTTACATCATTTTAGAGACTACTGAGCCAACTATAGATGGACTATTCAGGTTAACTGTGTTCAACAGAATTGCAGGAAAACGATTTAGATTAGCATTTTGATACTTTAGTATTAAATTTATGTTATACGGAACTAGAATAATGAAAAAGGGTGTTCTAAATATTGATTTTTATTCATTTTATACAGTGTGATGTCATGAGCAAATGTAAGGCATATCACAATAAAACAATTAGAACGAGTTAGTTGTGTGCGGGCACCAGTAACATGTGTTTCGCAAGACATGCATGTCGGTTAGCTATTTACAGAGTAAACATATAAAGGAGGGCACGATTGTGCAAAGCTCGTATCATGCAGTACAAAAGTGTGTACTCACTTTGCCCCGGGGGCGGACTTTGTGTCGAGAACCTCGACAATGTCGCCGGTCTTTAGCGACACTTCATCATCGGCTGTGGCGGTGTAGTCACACGGCGCCACGACTACATCCTCTACCTGGAACAAAACAAACAACTGGTTAGCTACAGCCACTATTTTATTGATCAAGTAATAAATACCGTTTACCTATGATTTCAAATATTGCATTAGTTTTTAAAACTTTAGATTACCTTAGGTGGGCTTTTGCTACAAGTAGACCTAGATCTAGTTAATGATCTTGAGGAGTAACGTCTGTAACTGGGTGTATTGTCCAAACTGCTTACTCTGCTTCGTGTGTTTTCTCTGTCATGTACACCGCTGTACCGTCGGTTCCATCCACCGAACTTGGTTATTCTTTGACTGTTACTTATATTACAATAGCCAGTAAATGTTTGAAGGTCCTCCTCGTTGTCATCTACGACTGGACAGCTGTACATACTAAAACGATGTGCGATAGGTTTGCTAAGATTTAATGCTGAGAATACGTGGAGCGGTTCAAAGTGTCTTATGCCATTTTCATCGAGAACTGTGTAGGCTACTTCACCGGTCAGAACTGACCGACTCGCTTCGCGAGGCACCACAGCCTGCAAGCCTTTCTTCATTATCAATAACGCTCCCCGATGTTTCTTGCGTTGGAACAAAAAGTCTTCCATAGCTAAACTGTTTTCGGGCTGAAGCAAACTTAATGGAACCTCATCAGAAGTCATTAAAGGCCGATCTTCAGGTATGATCATTAGAGCAGCGCTTTCTCGTACTAAATCCCTTAATTTGGGATCTGTACGAGCGAGCTGTGGATCATTTTCTAGTTTTTGTAGAGCAGAGTATAAACTAGACGTTTTATCTGCAAGTTTCCTCATAACTGTTACCCTTTTTAAAATGTTCATACTTTCGGCGTCGTTGGATAGATTAGCTAAGTTTGTCTCATTTTCAAGAGTACTTGATAACTTTTTGACCACATCATGCATGCCAAGTACTCGAGCGAGACCGATTGATTGTCCAATCAATTGCTTAATGTCACTTGATTCAGCTTCTTGTAAAATGTTTTCTAGTTCTTTCGTACTGTTCTCTTGAACCGCGGACACAATCACTTTTTGGAGAGTTTCCGCAGCTTCATTATCAGTTTTAATAAAGGAAATGGACTCGGAGATATGTTTAAGTACGTGGCGGAGAACGCTTGCATCGTTTTTAGTGATATTTTTAAAGGCAGGACCCAAGACTTCATTTTCGCTGCTCAGAAAGTCACAAAACTTTTCAATTATATCTTCTTCTTCCAGGGAATGTTTGTGTAATGTACTGTTTAAAGCAATTTTAATTAATTCTATCTTTTGTTTCGAAGAGTTTTCAAGAATTTCTTCTCGAAGCGTTTCTTTACTTTCCTCCGTTTGAAGAATTTTATACATAGCCGATACAAAATTTTCATCAATAGCTTGTCCCAATATAGTGTCGATAGATTTTAAGATTAGTTGATATTTTTCTCTGCTGTTATTATTGTTTATTTCTTCAAACTGCTCAGCTGTAACTAGGGCTGCCAAAACTGCTGCTGCGATTGAATTTTTAACATTTTCCTGCTGCACATCTTGTTCATCTTCGTATTTGTAGCTATCAAGTCGTTTTTTATTAAATCTGCCTTTTTTGGAGTCATTTTCTACTTTGCTTTCATAAATATCAGTCTTCAAATGACCACTCATATCAATTATCGACGTAATAATCTCCATTAGTTGATTAGCAATGTCATCTTTTAAACCATAATCAGTAATAAAAGCTTTCAATGCCTCAGCATTCCTTGTTTGGTTTAATATAATATTTATTGCAGGTAGATCAGCGGGAACTTGTCTACCTATCGACATGCCAGCTTCAGATAATTGACGTAACATGTTTGTGTCAATTGTAAGTTCACCTTTTGTAGATGTAGTGTCATTTGGGTTAGTTCTCACCTTCAAAAGTTTGAGTTCTTCAGGTGTAACAACAAAACTTTGCACAGAGAATTCTAATCCCTCTTCTCCTTCAGTCAGATCTGGAGCAACGAACTTTAGACCTTCAGGTGTCTGTACAATTTGCCCTGGTACAAAGGTTACGCCATTATCTTCTGTTTCAATAACTCTACCTGGAACAAATCTTGGGCCTTCTTCGGTATCAACAACTTGACCAGGAACAAATCGTGACCCTTCATCTTCAGTCCAAATCACTTGACCAGGTATAAATGTAGGACCAGCTTTTGTTTCAATTATTTGACCAGGAACGAAACGAGGCCCGTCGATAGTATGAATGGTTTGACCAGGAACGAATTTTGCACCACTCTTTGTATTGACAACTTGACCCGGTACAAATTTGGGCCCTTCTGCCGTATCAACAACTTGTCCTGGAACAAATTGCTCACCGTTCTCTGTAAACACGATTTGTCCCGGTACAAAAATTCCCTCGACCATCATACCGGGCACAAAACGAGACTCATTTAATCCGTTTTTGACAAGTCTTCCTGGAACAACTTTACCTTCTATTTTAGGCATTTTAGGGCCGGGATAAAATTCAATGCCTTTAACAGTTTGTACCATATGGCCAAAAACATATAGAGACTCTTCGGATACAGAACAAGTTTTAATATCTATTGGCAAACCTACGGGAGCACCTTCAGTAAAATTGATATCATCAATAGATTTTGCAACAGAAAATTCAACATGTCCATTAGCTTGAACGATTGTTTTTCCTGGTAAAAACTTTTGCCCGTAGTCTGTATGCACGATCTGACCTTCAATGAATTTTGGTCCGTCGATCGTTTCAACGGTAGTGCCTGGTATAAATTCTAACCCATTATTAGTCGTTTTTGTGATTCCCGGTACGAAACATGCCTCACCATCACTAAGGACAGTTTGGCCTGGTACAAATTTTAGACCATTTGGTGTTGCCAAAGTCGCTCCAGGAACGAAATGTAATTCATCATCTTGATGTACAACTTGTCCTGGAACAAACTGCCATTCATTATTTATTTTAGCATTTTGCCCCGGTGTGAATGATATTTCTCCATTTTCTGTAATTGTTTGACCGGGAATAAATTGCGCACCATCTGGTGTTAAAATTGTTTGACCCGGTACAAATATTTCTTCGGGTCCATTATTAATAACTTTGCCTGGTACAAATTTAAGACCTTCTTCTGACAAAACCGTTTGGCCTTCTGTGAAGCGATATGTGTCTTTATTTTTAATAGTCTGTCCACAAACAAATTCTTCGCCATTTGTTGTCTGTAAAACTTGGCCGGCAAGGAAGAATGGCTCTTGTGTATTTTCTGATGTTACTATGTGGCCAGGAATAAGACCGGGGCCAGCAGGCGTGTTTACACTTAAACCTGGTACAAAAACAGGTCCTACTGGGGTTTCGACAGTCTGGCCGGGAACGAAAACCAATCCTTGAGGTGTATTTATATGTTGCCCAGGAATAAAGGTTTTTGCCTTATTAATATCTAATGTGAGTCCCGATATTTTAGCGATTTTTTCCCTTTTACCTTTTTTAATGTTCTTCACAACATTAGGTAAAGTTTCTAAAGTGGGCAACATGTCTAATTTATTTTCTTCGAACAGTTTTTCAGTCACATCAGAAGTTTCAGTTAAGCGCTCCTGCGAAAGCTCCTTCACAGCTTGTAATATCGTTTCACATGGCCGGTTTTTGACCGGTTTTAAAGGGTTTACACTAGGAACGTTTTCCAGAGGTATGGTCACTTCACTAATATTTCTATCAACTTGGTATACTTCCGTTTCACAATGATAAGGTGTTATTTTAACTGGTGAAGGTAATGTTGTGCTCCTAGGAATAAAATGCTCATCTTTCGTATCTTTTTCGAGTAAGTCCCAATCCCACGTTTCCATCAGTGGATGTATTTGATCTTTCCATTCTCCGTTACACACAGTAATGCTAGATTTGGATCGCATTTCGTTTATGCTAAAATTGTCACACAAATAGCTCTTTGTGTCATGTTTTTCATGTTTTATTTTTTCTAGTTTAGCTTTTTTGGCCAAACGATCTTGACGAAGTATTTCTTCTTCTATTTCTTGAACTTCTGCAAGTTTTTCCTTAGTTTCAAATATTTTTTTCATTGAGGATAATCCCGCTGCTCGTTTTCGTTTCTTTTTCCTTTCTTCAAGTTCTTCTTGCTCCCTCTGCTTGAGCACTTCCGCATTCGGTCCTTCTCCTTCATACATTTCTACGTCTTCGGTAAAATCTTTAAAGTCCATGGAAACACTTCGACCCTGTTTTGTTTTTATAAGAACAGTATCAGAATCCTTGGCGAGCATCACATCCCTGACATCTCCATCGCGCACGGCAGCTTCCATACGAGCGGAGAACACTAAGCCACAGCGTCTTTCTTGAACAGTATAAACGTATCGCTTTTCTTCGGTAACTTGTTTGGTTAATAACATATCCATTAATGCTTTTTGAGCTTCAGTAGATCCGTCAAGAATAGGGAATATGTATCTGTAATCCGGGAGCAGGTCATGTTTTCTGTTGCCATAGTTAATTTCTGGCGCATAATGGTGGGGTCCAAGTTCACCAGCCACATTTGTTATTTTGCACTTTGTTTTGGAAGAACTCGCCGTCAAAAGCACTGGAATGTAGTGATGAGTTGGCAAACCGTATGATTTGCCGGTGATCCTGCAGCAGCGCTTGGCATCCGCCGGAGAGATCGGCGCGAGGAGCGGGAAGTAGTTGGGTTTGGGCAGACCCCTGCTGCGGCCCGTTATTCTACAAAAGGACATCGCGGCTTCACTTAATATTACGTTGTCATATTATTTGTTTACAACTGAATTAAAATTTTGTTTATTTTGAATAGTAAGTAAGTTATCGTATTTGTTTCGCGGCACAAGTGTACACGATCGTTCACTGCGGTGGTTGGAGCTTGACTGAGCTGGCTGGCGAGCGGCGAGCTTTACTTAGCGCAGGCGCACGGCACGGCGCACGCATCAATTTGCACCTCTGTCGGAGGCAGACGGTGTGCCGTATATTTGTTCCGGTTAGCCGCTATTTATAAACACAAGTGAGACGTATTTATTCTTTACAAGAAATATATTGACACAGATCCATGGGGAAAACACCGGAGCGACAAAGTTTACATTAATTTGTCGTTTTGTGGAAAGATAAAAAGAAAAATATTTTTACGAGTGTTCTCACCTGAAAAGTGTAATTTATTACAGGACACAAAAATTGCGGAGATTGTTGTGTCAGATTGTGGCTTAATAATTTACTGTGCGGTCGCTAATTCTGGCTAATGTTTTTATCAGAGCAGTGAACAATAAATACTATTTATAAGTTATTTAAATATTGCGATTAAAAAAAATTACTTTTAAATAATTTTAATTTGTCATTATAGAAATGTGTTGATATGTATATATTAAACATGTGTCGAGTACGAATATAAAAGAATATATTGGAATAGTGTGACTGTATGTATGTCGCACTTGTCAACAAAGTTAACATATAACCTCGACGTCTGGACCGCGATTATATTTTTAAACATCATTAAATCTGCGAACCTTCAAGTTTAAGCGAGCGTGAAGAGGACAGTTTATTTCCACACTCTCTTCACTTTTTTAAATTAATAGCCTCCAATGACCTAAGTTGTGGCCAATTTCTTGTGATTAGTAATAGCCCGCGACTCCGTTTGCGTTGTTTAAAAAAACCTTAATTAATAGCCTATATGTTCTTCCAGATCACATTCTACATCTATGTCAAATTTCAGCGAGATCCATGCTGCAGTTCTGGATATATCTTCTAACAAACATCCATCCATCTATTCATCCAAACATTCGCATTTATAATATTAGTAAGATGTAATATTATAAAATACTATCTCTGGTATAAACCTAAGTAATTGATTTGCAATGGGTCAAGTTGCAATGTGTGTAACACATTACTCGTAGCACGATTATAAGGCTACGCGTTCTGCGCGCTACAATAACTTCGAGGTCACCTACGAGGCATAGAATAAGAGCTTTTAAACACCTAAGATTTTTATATAACAATGAAACATTAAGACAAATATAGCTGAAGAGGCTTAACGTACCATTTTTCCTTCTAAAAATGAACCTTTAAAGTGGAAATCAGTATACTTTGATGATAATGTTTAGCACTTTGCGAATATAAATCATACGCTCTTAAATCACAATCCTAAGTACCTTTTAATATATTAGCATTGACTCATACATAATCTATACAAGTAAATATATAACTAAAGACCTGAGTCAGTATAAATCCATGAACCCAACAGTTCATCAATATGTTAAAATTAAACCGGCTTTCGAAATGTTTGCGCGCGTCAGTCATTGAAATAGAACTAAGCCCTAGTTATTTTTCAATCTCAGTAACGTTTGATCTCCAAGTTTCGTAATATCAATTCGCAATCGATGTAAACCCAAACAAAACGAAAGCTCTTCAAAGTAACGTTCTGTTGCTCGATGAAAATAAAGAGATAATTTCGAACACATCCAAGGTCTTCGTATGTATTTTTAGACGTATATGTCAATGCAATTTGCTGTTAGAAACTAAGATATTATATAAAAATTCGTACTATTTAAATATACGCATTTATTTTAATGTAATAGATAACTACAAAAGTATATAATGTGATATCTGTTTTATATATTATTTATAAGTATAGTAAAGACCTTTTGATAATTGTTAAAAAAAACGAAACCTTAGCGTTTAATCCTTGTAAAAGTGTCTCCTGTTGTTACAGCATATGACGTACGCGGAGGTAATCTTTTAAGAAATTTAAAAGAAAAAAAGAACATCTTTATTCCAACACAAACAAACGCATTCGTTTACCTCATTCGTAAACAAAGCGAAGTGCAAAGCAAAACATGTTGAGTGTTTCAATGCCACATGTCGGCACACATTTCCAGTGATTTTCTCTCAACGACACTGTAAGTAAATATCATGAAATGTGCCATCTTGTATTTTATGATTTTACACGTTCAGGGAAATTGGTGAGACTGTCATCATCCAAACGGAAAGTGATTAAATAAACAAGTTTTCCTTGTAGTGACTCACCGATGAAATAGCTAGGCTCATCATTGGTCACAGTCGGGAAAATCATTGCGCATCGATTCGAAAAACAATTTGTAAAACAGATTCGAGTTTATTGAACTCGACTAATCTATCGATATTATTAGCGCATTGGCACATAGCAACCGCTCAATTTACAAAAAGAAGGAAAAAATGAACAATCAGAACTACAGCAAAACTAAATGCTTATAATTGTTAACCTTAAACAAAGAAGTCGTAGATATATAGATGAAACTATTAAGATTTTTTAATCATCAACCTGCCCTTATCCCTATCGAGGGTCGGCACAGCATGTACTACTCCTCCATACATCACTATCAGCCGTCATATCCGAGTCTACCCCCTTCTTACGCATATCCTCTTTCACACAGCCATTCCATACTTTTTTTGGTCTTCCCCTACCCTTGTAGCCATCCACATTCAATCTCATTACTTTTTTGCTTATATCATCATCATCCCTCCTCATAACATGTCCAAACCACGCTAATCTTTTACTCCTCAATTTCTCGATCACTGGCGCTACTTTCAAACTTCCTCTAATATACACATTATTAATCTTTTTTAATATCTAAATAAAAACCATAGTAAGATTTCTGGTAGTTTATTCCGTAGACATACTTTAACGAATTTATATTTTGTTTAAGCGTTGAGCATAAAATTGACTATAAATTACTATTTAAAAAATCAACAAATGTTAAAACATTTCTTCTTTATTTAATTAAAAAGAAAAATCTCTTTTGAAACATTTTATCCTGAAGACATGCAATAAATCTCAAACAAAATAATTCTAAGACGAGTTTGCAAACAAAATCTAGAAATGCCTAATAATGTTCCCGTGGAGATAAATCAATTCTAAGAAGTTTGCGAATAGTCGAACTACATTTTGTGATATGACTTTTGGCTTCTATCGAATACAAAGACGTCTTTAATTTACATATACACTAGCTGTCGCCCGCGACTCCGTCCGCGTAGATATATAAAGAAAATATTAAATGACGATTGATTAGTTATCGACCGAAGATGAAAAATGATTAAATTACTAAAATGGCTATTAAAAAATAAGGGTTGATCGTAGAAGGGTGAAAATTTAGGATTGTACAAGTATGTATTGTTGTATCATAAAAAAATAAAAACTAAAAATTTTGTCTAAAAAATAAAAAATGAAAAATAGGGGTGGGACAACCCTTAACATTTAGGGGGATGAAAAATAGATGTTCGATAGATTCTCAGACCTAGTCAATATGCTCACAAAATTTATTGAGAATCGGTCAAGCCGTTTCGGAGGAGTATGGGAACGAAAATTGTGACACGAGAATTTTATATATACCTACACTAGCGGACCCGCCAGACGTTGTCCTGTCTACGCGTCTTTAATTTGAATAAATTAATATGAAGTTAATATTTGATGAAAATTGTGAATCTAAACCATTCCCAGATCCCCTTGAACACACACAAAAAAATTCATCAAAATCGGTCCAGTCGTTTGAGAGAAGTTCACTGACATACACACGCACAGAAGAATTATATATATAAAGATAAGAAGATAACACAAAGGATGTGTGAACTATGTTTAATTTTCTTTCATGTCTTTTAAAAACTCCACGCTATGTCAACGCTCTATTCGATTATTTGCATCACCGGGAAATTACACTTGATGCCTGTCAAAACTTTTTAAAAAACCAATCCCAATAACTTTTCTTCACAAAAGTGTCTACAAACAGACTGGTTGTTCGTTTATTAATTACACTTCATAACAGTAGCAGTCCAACGCCAACTTTCTCTTTGACTTTTTCTCTACTTTTAAAGATCAATACTAGCCAGACAAATGGTTTTTGAATTAGTTTAAAGACTCTATTCATTATAAAAATATTAGAGATTGTATCTACTCATACAAGTTAAAAATGTTTGTGTATGTGTTCGTGTGTGTGTGTGTGTGGGGGGAGGGGGGGGCTAAAGTCTGTTATGTAAATTCATATTAAAATTTATCTAACTTTCCATTAGAAATAGAGACGGGTACATGAATTTCTACTTAAAATTGTTCTACTTATTTTAGTTTCAGGTCAAGGATGAGTTACACAATAAAATAGAATTAGGTTATTTATTTGGAGAATTTAACAAAAATAGAAAGTAGAATGATACAACTACATGTAGAGGAATTGATCCTGTGAGACCGGTGAACATGACATCACTGAAGACTGACGTAAAATAAAGATTTTTTTATTTCATCAGATAAGGTTCAAATCTAATTAATATCGAAAGTACTTTTACATCGTTCATATTACCTTCCGAATAGTTATATTTCATCTAAACTAATATTATAAAGCGGAAGAGTTTGTTTAAACGCGCTTATCTCAGTTACTATTGGTCCGATTTGAATTTTTTGTAGGATAATCCATTTATATTCTTTAAAAAGAAAGTAGGCGGCACTAACTGGACACACGTGGCTCAAGATAGAGAAAATTGGGCATCTTTGGAGGAGGCCTTTACCCGAACAGGGGTTCCTACAGGTAGATAAAAAGTAGTTACATTATAAATTTTATTGTATGATTTATCTGTAAGGAAATAAATGGCTTTATTATTATTCATCCATTTATAGAGGAAGGCTTTAAGCTATATAACATAACGATGCGACCATTAGCTTTTTATAATTCGGAAGTAGTCTCGGGCAACAGCTAGTTTACTATACATTTAATTACGTACAATTTAATACAAATGGTAACCGCCTTGTGTCTATTTATACATTATTTATTATTCTTCATAATATTCACGCACAATGTATGCAGGAAGTTTATTTTGTAGTAACGTTAACAAACCGAGAAACCTTAACAAAATAATGCAACAGTATAATAAACCTAAACGTTGTAGTAAACATTGTTAAATTTCGTAAACGCAGTCGCTGATGTGCGAATGAAAAAAAACTGATTTACAATGTTATAAATGTATGCAAAGGATTTGGTTACATTTCGAAAGAAAAATAACGTAACTTTACCAACATAAATGTGAATGTTTAGATGTATAACTGGATGGATGGATGGATGTTTGTTAGAATGTATCTCCAAAACGTCTGCTTGGATATCGCTCAAATTTGACATAGATGTAGAACAAAGGGTGTTGTTTTTTTCAAATTCTGCGCAGGCAAAATCGCGGGCGAAAGAAAACAATAGATAGTTTTTTAAATTGGTATAATTTTTTTTAACGTATTTTCCCCTGTATCATTACTGTAACCTATATTCAAGGAATAATTCATATCTTGCAATAAATTCATAAGCGAAATTAAGAATAAACGATTCACTTTTTTTTCACCGCAAAATGTTGTCACACAAAAATATACGTGTCCTGGAATACCGCGGCCAACGCAGCGCTGTTTATTTGGGTTGTGCTGATGAAAAAATGCATATCTGCTCTCCATCACATATAATTACAGCTCATTTATAACGCTTAAGGAACATCACCTCCTCCTCGCAGGGACTAAAACTGTCACGGATAATAAATACGCTTCTTATTTAAGAACTTTTATCACTTCTGCCAACTTCCGGGTTTTTGATATTCAAAGGTAAATTAACAAAGACAAGGGTTGTCAACCTTTATACAGGAAGACGTGACTAAGATGCTACATTTTTAATTAATAATTGTAGCCCGCGACTCCGTTCAGGCGGAATAAAAAAAAACTTAATTTGTAGTCTGTGTGTTCGTCTAGACTATGTTCTATATCTATGCCAAATTGCAGCGAGATCCGGTCAGCTGTTCCGGAGATACCTTCAAACAAATATCCATCCATTTGTAGGTGACCTTCTACATATTTTCAAAAACACTATACAGACACACATACACATACCTCACATTCATCCATCCATCCATCTAAACATTCGCATTTATAATATTAGAATTAAGTAAAAAGTTCTGAATATAAAACTGATTTCCTTTATCTAATCCATTCATCGATCGATACTTAATATTTAAAACACATCAAAGTTGTCAAGTCAATGAATTTGCCAATTGTTTTACAACGTTACAAGTTCCGTTCTAGATCGATCATGGTCGTAGGCTATCAGCCAATAATTATTACCGTAGGTTAACACTACCGAACAAGTGATTAAAATCATATTATCTACTCTCTTATTAGCTTCCAAAAGAACAAAGAGAGCAATATGTTTTGTACAGGTGTTGCAGCAATATAAACGCGGTTATATCAGAAGAGAATTATAAACAGCCATCTTGTCATGTATCAGATCTCCTTGTAGAAATATTCGCGATGTATTCGTCGTGCTCGAGGCCCATTCCCAGCGTATGTCATGATTTGCAGGTTCATAATTAGTTTGGACGTCGTCCAGTGTTCTTAGTCATCAAGCAAAGAGTATGAACTAACAATTCAATGATATATTAAATTTATAAACCATTAATTCATTCATTAATTTATAGATTTACATAACATTGTGATGCAAGCGATTGTCGATTAAATGGAAGAGTTAAATACGTCGCTAGATACATAGAGGTATCTTTATTTGGTCGCGCAAAAGGCTAGTTAAATCGTAATGTGCTGTTTTTTCAACGGTCTTAAGACACGTGAAATATTTATTTTTACTCCAATTTAATTCGGACAAAAACATATTTTTCACATCGAATTTTCGAACGTGAAGAAAAACAAAGCGAAATCTAGGCTAGATTTCAGGTGTGTTTTGTCGGAAAATCACGCACGAGTTCAAAATAACATCGTGGTTTAATTTGGTCAAGTTTCCGGGAAACAGAGTATTACGGTGTGGAGACCGAGCCGGCCCTGAACTAGTTAAATAACTGAGCGCTTCAAATATCGCTATTTTGTAACTTACTGACCTTACGCTATAGTGTTTTTATCACGTCACGCGCAGTATAACCGAGTTGATGACGTCATGGTATAACTCAAACCACGGTTAATAGATACTAGCAGTTGCCCGCGACTACGTCTCCGACTTGGTAAAAAAAAACATAATTAGTGGCTTGTGTTCTTTCCGACTATGTTCTACATCTGTACCAAATTTCATAGAATTCCGTTGATCCGTTCTGAAGATACCTTTGAACAAACATCCATCCATCCATCTAAACATTCGCATTTAAAATATTAGTAAGAAATACTATCATATTGAAACTTTTTCGTTTAAAACGAAAGAAGAATGTATGTGAAAAATTTAATGTGACACACTGAATATTATGAGTTCATTGTTATAAAGAAAAACGGAATCGGAAGCTTTATAACCTTTATAATAAAATTCCCTTTTTGTTTATAAATAAATCCGGCATTTACACAATAACGGGAGGCATTGTTCGCATCGGAGTTTACAGTTTTTGAGTATCAAATCTTAATTAACATTGCCCATATTATTTCCACTGCTATTCCATCTTTTTTAAGGGGATAGTAAGTGCTTTCATTTCTTTGCTGTAAACGGTCATCAGTTTTTGTATCTGATGTCAGTTTACTGCTGACGTAAATAAAGCTTGTTTGATTAATTTATTGGACAAGGTCACAGCGGATCCGAATAACTTACGACCACTGCACTCTACAATTACCAAAAACAGTCTTACAAAGTCATATTGCAATGCCTCGGATTCTTCTTGAAAATTGCTAAAACTTATAAAAATTTCGAGATATTACGATTTTTGTTGAACTCACAAAAATACGTCTAAATAAAATTCCTAAATAGATTATCTAAATGGACGGCAATCAGATTGGTTTTTGCGGAATTCGTCCGATTTAAAAATACTTTTATTTACAACGGCCCGACACTTCGCGTTTATTTGAGTATCGGTTCTAAGTTTGAACGCATTGCGTTACGAGTAGGGTTGTCAATTTGCAATAAAAATAGACCCAAACCCAGGAGGCGAAAAAATACTGTTGACAACCCTGGCTAGCGTAAATAACTCAATAAAATGTTGTAAACGAATATGCCGTTTCGTACATTTGTTTTATATTAAAATACTTAAAACCTTAGAAAATATTTAAATTACAGTTCTATAAAGCACTATACTGAAGCAAACACAAAAATGATAAAAATATTAATGTTTTATTTATAATACAATAATTTAAGTTTTATTTTCTGCGGCAAATATGTATTTAACATTTTTCGAAATTCTGGATTTTGACACCGCCATCTTTTCCATGTGGAGATTATGTAATCTAAAATTTTCGATATATGTAGTTCCAAGCCACAGAAGCTGATTTTTTCATCAAATTTGAATAATTAAAATTATGATGTTAGAGTACAAGTAGAGACATCTATACTTTGATTCAAAAACAATTTTAAATCTACAATGTGCGCCATCTAGTATAACATTTAGGTACTAGCTAAGTATTCTGACTACGAGTTTCAAACTTACAAAGATAGATGGCGCTAAAATTAAACTGCCTAAAATCGTTAATCTAAAAATACCTAAATGATCGCAATGATCGTTTGGCAATCATCTCGCATTGAAGCTTATTATAACATCATGAATAATAAAGTTATTTATTATCTGTGCTATTTTAGGTCGCAATAGAAAGCATGAGCATCTGAAGACGTTCTTGTTTTGGCGATTCTCTAGTGAACAAAGGCAAACAAATAAAGTTATTTGAGTTTGAGATTAATCGTACTCATTGAGTTTGTGTGGTCAATAAAATGTTGAATTACCCAGAGTTCAGACTAAGGAGTCATAAAGCAGTGGTTGTTGGCAGCGGTCACATGAAACGCTGTAATGTGGCTGTCGTTGCCCACTTGTTTGATCGTCAACCGTTTAATTTGAATCGTAATTGCCTCTTGCTTATCTGTGCCGGTAAGAGAGGTACTGCTTTCGCATTTAGTACTGTCAGAAAATATGTAAAACCTACATTGGCATAGGAAATGACATAACAGAAAAAAAAATTAAAAGATAGCTGCAGTACAACAAGAACATTGTGACATAGATATTGACAGGAGGGCGCTAGTGAGCTAAAATAATTTAGTTTGACTTATACCCACATGGTCAGAAGACTTTGTTGGCTTTATAACTATTCATTAATGACATTCTCAGATGTATTTCAAGGTTTTTGAACAAATATTCCTTACTACTTGACAGTAAAAAGCCTTGCAAAGTAAATAACAAGGTCGTCACCTGATCCATCCGTCCTGTGTCTACAACACATACATGACGCTACTTTACACAACTATTTATTACAAAATACATAGTTTGTCGAAATCTCTACGTGTTTATTTTAATAAAATTTCATAATATAAATGTAATATTTCGGGAACTAACAAATCACTTCAATGTTTAAACAAACCTATTTTCGGTACGGTAGCTAAGTGACGATAGTTTTAAAAATAATTTGTCTCGCCTCATAACTATTTTGGGTTCGATACATCGAGTTTATTCACTTCTGATTAATTTTTATGTAGCGCGTAATAACTGATACAAAAGTTTTCTGATATCTCGGTGGCTCGTAACTTTGCGCGAGTTGTTGCGCTGTACACAATATAATATGCAACGGGACGTAGCGGGATGCACCGATGACCTTGATTAACCAAGTTTTTTGAAAGGAACCCTCTTTTTTACTAGTGGTCACAAAAAACAGACGATTGAAAAATATAAGAGAAGAATGAGAAACGTTACAAAAGAGAGGATTCATGTGAAAAGAAGAACATTGGAGAAGCTTGTGAATAGCAATCGCTTACTTTAAGATGAACGAAACTTTTTCATTAATTAATAATATAGACTTACTTCCATGTCCATGCGCGCGGCCTCGCCGGCCCGGGCGTCACTCAGCCGGCCCGCCAGCAGCGCCGGCACCGCCACCCGGCTCACCCACTCGCCGAACTCTGCGACACACCGTCACGTCACCACACAATACTTGAGCACCACTGTGTTACCACACAACACAAAACAGGAAAACAAAACACAAGGAAAGCTTGCTACGAAGATTGCAGAGTATCCTAGTTGGAAAAGGAAATGAAAAACATAATTGGAGGAAGTTGGCTTCCGTGACTTCAGTGTGTACAGTCAGCTGCATAAATATAGATTTACAAAGCATTAGAAACTTGTACAGTCCTTGGTTTCAAATAAAATATTCGTCAAAAACATGTATGATCGGAAGGGTATGGATATTTTTTTAAAAACCGAATGCCTATAGATGTTTTTAATCTTTTGTAAATGTATACATGTTTATGTATCTGACTGTACTTTTGAATATTATGGGAAGATTTAAAGTTTAGACTTATTTACGATAAAGTAAAAGTTGAAAAAGTAAAAGATAGTTTCTAAGAGAGCAATATAATAAATAAAAAGCAAAAGTAAGCAACAACCGGTAAAACAAATTGAAAACAAGGATGACAATGAAGGACGTAAATTTTGTTTGATGTGTTTGTGTTTAGTTTGTTTAGTGTATACTGAAAACTACGAGACTACATTTAAAAACTTTCTACTTCTACAAAAAAAGCTTCACTTCTGTAAATGAAGTAAATTTTGAAAATTAGGTACATTTTCAATTATAAAAGCGAGTTTATCGAATTAGATTTATGTACGAATTAGGTTGTATTTTTAGCTACTAAATATTATTTACTGCCAGTATTAATTACGAAAGGTACTAACTAAAGAGAGGCTCTACAAGATTTCTAAAAGCGGTCGTCGGATAAAATTGTTTTTAGAGAATAAACAACGATAAAAGATGAATGAAAGCCCCTACAGAGTTTCATAACAATTGTATATATCGATTATTGTATATTCGAACCAAAATTACTTATTTCAATTAACAAATATTTAAAATAAAACTATTAAGGTCGAAACCGTTGTTTATTCTTCTTTTGTAAATCTTGTGAACTGACCTATCGCCTCTTGGTTCATGAGGTCTAGTGTTTCGTGTGTGTCATCCATTTTGTGTGTTATCACTGTCTGTTTGTGTGTATGTTTAAAATTCCAACACTATGTCACTCCGCACTTCACATTTAAAACAGAAATATTTTAAGGTTATTTTATTTAATTAGGCAACGTTCTACCATCAATGTCTAAATAAACTAAAGTAGGCAATATTTGCTTTAAATTAGTACTAAATAGTACCAGGACATATAGATTTGAAAACAAGATGGGTTGCTGCAACTAAAACGACGCATATTTGGCAAATGAGTGTACAGCTGCACGTAACTAATTCCTCAGATATATATTTGTATTTCACACGGATCATTTAATGTACCCGTTGCGTGAATGCTTGGCGCAACACGCATCTCTCAGGTGTGCCAAATGTTATGCCAAAATATACTTGAACTTGTATAATGCATAACATCTTTGCCACTAATTAACTACGCAATGAGAAAGAAAATTGGTAATATTCATGGAAGTAGACTGATATGAATAATGACGGAATAAACTAAACAACTTTTACAGTGTAAAATTATAAATCAATCTATCGTCTAACTAGCTGTCGCCCGAGATTCTGTCCGCACGGAACTTAAAAAACAAGTTAATAGGTAGCCTATGTATTCTTCCAGACTATGTTCTACATCTATGCTAAATTTCAGCGTGATCCATGCAACCGTTCTCGAGATACCTTCAAACAAACATCCATCTATTCATCTAAACATTCGCATTTATAATATTAGTAAGATATAATAGTAATGGTGGATGATTTAAATGTAATCTTTATTTACTACAAGGTCAGAACTCTGGAGTAATGGCTCGCGACTGAAGCTGGAACATTTTAATATCTAAATAGTGAATTGTCACATCCTATTTCATCATTTTCCATAGACATGACAAACATTTATGTTTGAAATCAAACTCACAGACGTTTTTTAAATATAATATATGAAAAATAATAGATATATCTATCTCTTCCTGGACTCTATGGAAATAAAAGTGACAGATAAGAATCACAAATATTTGGTTTCAGGTCTACTCGTAGCCAAATGGATCAAAAAATTTTAATTAATCTTTTAAACGATGGTCACTGCTTCTTTCTCTATTATACCTTTAAAATATCTATATATAAAAGAAAGTCGTGTTAGTTACACTATTTATAACGCAAGAACGACTTTACCGATATGCCTGAAAATTTGTGAGGAGGTAGCTTAGAGCCAGGGCACGGACATAGGATATATATATATATATTTTTCTGCTTTTTATTTAACTAATCTACATATTAAGGTTTTTTATATATCCACGCGGACAGAGTCGCGGGCGACATCTAATAAAAAGGTTTTAACAATAATTTAAAATAAAGCATTGTAAAGAATTTTCTTTTTATTATATTTAAAAACAAAATGTGTAAATTTAATGTGTTTCAAGGAGGGAATTCAACCTCGTGGAACGTTTGATATTTTCATCGCGCCTCAGTGTCACTGGTTCAATGTCTTACGTTCCCGCGCTAATCACATCTGATACATTTTGGAGTATAACCAATATTAAACAACATAGAGTGTCTCATGACGAAACATACTGTTATCTCTCTCTTCCCGAAAATAATGAGAGAGACGGCAATAGTATGAGTTACGAAAACTAGAATAATTGAAAATAAAAATTAAGACATTGGGATTTAGGTCTCTACATAATATTATTTAGTTACATATGTATACTAGCGGACCCGACAGACGTTGTCCTGTCTACACGTCTTTAATTTGAAAATTTCAAACTTTTTTAATAAGCTAAGCTAGGGACAGACTAAAATTAAAATTCGAATATTATTTAAAATTTGACACTGCGATGGTAGCGCCGTCTGTCGGATCCAATGTAAAACATTCCAAAATCAACAACTACTATTAAATTAAAAATTAATTAAAAAAACATTGTCCAGCGGACAAAATTGTGAATCTAAACCATTCCCAGATCCCCTTGAACACACACAAAAAAAATCATCAAAATCGGTCCAGTCGTTTGAGAGAAGTTCAGTAATATACACACTCACAGAAGAATTATATATATAAAGATAGACTCGTTATAGAAAAAGGAATTACAAGAATATAAATAAAATGTATGAATGCAGTGTTCAGTTTGAAAAATATTTAATTTGCTTCCTTAGATGTTGTAGCCACAAAATAATGCATTGTTTTTATATTAAACACTTCGTCATACAAATAGAATTTTGTCAATTAATTGCATGAAATACATTCTAATTGCATACGCTTGCAACATGTGCATGAACTTGAAATAACTGAAACTGAAAATAAAACCGCCCACGAAACAATTTATTGAAAATGTGCACGTTGCAACTAAGTTAAGCGAATATATATTAAAATGTATTTAGAGAGAAAAGTAAGAAACCTTCCGATTTCTTTTTCGTGGTAGACAATGTCCTATTTCAGTTACCTAATTCTTCAGTTTTTAAATTAACGCTTTAAAAGACATAAGATTGTTAGGTTACCCAGTGGTAAAGTTTGTCTTATCTTGCCGGGAGAGAACGGGGCACTTTATTACCTCGTAGCAAAGATTAACTATTTAAAAAACAATTTCGCATCCAACTAGGAAAAAATATAATTTTAAAACATTTTTTATTTTAAGGACTAATAATAGATAGATACAAGCATAATAAATCGTACTATATGACAAAACTTGATGCGCCCACATAAAGTAGAATAAGGTCAGGAGGATCTCTACAAAATTTAGAAGTCACTTTAGCAATGATTATATGTGGATTTTATATGAAGTATAAATATAAAGCACATGTGCTTTTGATTACGTCTGTAGCAGATTGACTGCGTCTTGTTGCAGATATTTTTGAACGTAAATATATCAGTGATGAACGTTATGGAAGATCATTTATATAAATAAATCCTATACTTTTATTATGTTGACTTTAGCATTGCAATGTTTCGTCAATCGTGAGACTCGAAAGCAAACATTTGTGTTTTCTAAAGGTCATAAAATTAACTTGAGTAAATCGAACCTACTACAATTCAAATTAAGTACAAACACAGTGCATATTCCGAGAGTCCTCATCCATAAAACAATTGACAACGTAGCCTACGCAATCTATGACGTGTGTTCAAAGAATGCATAACCTAGAAGAGACCTAGTGAGATATTTTTTTAAATGTCAACATGCTAGAAATCAAGCTCTCCTTACATTACCGAAACATTCAGTTAATTGCTATCTAATCACCCTTATTCCAACACCATAAGGTACACTTTCACCAATCTCTATCAGACAAATTTTCGCCCGGATAACATTAAGCCAATTTAAATTGAAACGCCCTATGACCCTTATTACAATAACATAAGGTTTGATATGTAATGGTGAGAGTTCAAAGAAAGTTTGTAAATAGTGCGGCCGGGAAGGCCGGTCTAAATACGTCCACGTCTTTGGCACGCCACTGGGACAAGGACGCCTCATCTATGCAGCGACGGATTGATTGACCGATTAATAGCGAAAAAGTTACACTAGACATTTTTTTATCAAATCAATTAATACTTACCAAAAACTCTTATAAAAGATTGATGAAACTACGTTAAAGATGATTTAGAAATCTTATTGGGAAAATGGTAATGAATTTTGAAAAAAAAGTGAGAACTTATTTACAGAAATATCAAGAGAAAAACCACAAAATTATAAACATCACTCGATGTAAATTTAAAAATATCATTTATATCGCAAACTAGATGAATAGAGATAAAAGAAATCAGCTGGAATTAAATCGGTTTCATGAAAACACACATCAAAGCGATGTTGGTATAAAACATAGTTTTGTGTCTTGTAAACAGATGCCGCGTGTATATGTTTTCGTACACGGGTGGGGGGAGGTTAACACAGGGTGAGGGAGTGTCCACAGGGTAGGGTACGGTGCGTACACGGTAGGATATCACGGAGCGTTCCGGCGATATATCGCGCTGCGTGGTCCGCGAGGCGACTGCGCGTCCGCCGCCCGTCAAATACGCACTATGACTGACGCGCGACTCCGCTCCATCGCCAGACAACAATTAATAACGTTATTTTATTATGTGCTGAGAGATTTAATTGTTTTTAATGAAGGTTAATCTGACTTGAAAACATTTTTCAAGGTTTTAAATCAACGTGAAATGCAATAAACGTCATAATACTTATATTATATTTATCTTGTGTTCTTTTACCTTTTAACGGATAACTTTGGTAAAAATTATGCAAGATGCAGATCACATAGGTCTGTTTTTAAGAGTATCATCAGCCATTGTAGCAAGCAAAATGGTCTAGCTCGTGAAAATACATAGAGAATCTTCAAGTATGAGTAAATATGCGTTGCATTTCGCAATAGGCAGTGGGTAGTGGTCAGTGTGCAGTGGGCAGTGGGCAGTGTGCACTGACCAGAGAGTGCGCAGCACGTGCAGTCCGGCGAGGCGCACGGCCAGCACGCCGCACACTGCGCCGGAGCGCGCGCGCACAGACAGCACCTCAGTGTAGCTGTCCGAGCCAGCACAGCGCGCCAGCACGTCGCCCAGGTACAGGTGCGCGTACCTACACACATGACACATACGCTATTGATGTAACAATAGGTAGGGATCAAATGTACAATTTTGTCCATATAAGTGTACCCAGAAAAATAGATCTTTACGTGCCGTAAAAACTAATCTTCCAAAGTCTAGCACAACACATCAAATTAGTTCTTAACAGGACATTTGTAATTACTATTATATAGGAAAAAATTAGCGTAGAAATAAATCGGTCCAGCCGTTCCGGAGATGTAAGAATTATCATGATATTGACTGTTAGTATTCCGAGTTATTACCCGATATCTTCGCATGTGTCGAGACCGAGCGGGTCCTCGGGGGGCTCGGAGACGATGGCGAAGGTGAGGCAGTCGGTGTGGGCGGGGGGCGCGGAGTCGCGTCGCCGGCACCGCGCCATGTGTCCCAGCAGCGGCAGCTCGCTGTCAGTCAGCACGAACTCTGCACCACAACTTACACATGTGGCTATTTTATGTAGTCCTGGTCACCAGCTGGCCAACAACTGGTCTACTGGCTAAAAATACGGTCTACCAATATCCGTCAGATGTGTCGGAGAAATTTTTTATGATGTCTCTCAGTTTTGATTTCAATGTTTAATATAATTTGAAACAACTCTTTAACTTTAAAGTATTACTAATTTATCGTACACGGACGCTACAATTAAAAGGACGGAATCAATATTCAATCTAATCTTATAAACCTCAATTTAATAGTACCAGGAGTGGATCATGTAAATAGCTGAGTTGTTTGGATATAAAAGACTATCGCCACTCACGTTTATTAAAGTTGAAATAGCACTTGTCATTGCAACTCTTCGGCTTGGGCAGGCTGACCGGCGTCTCCAGCTCGGCGCCTTCCCTGCCCAGGAAGCTATAGGCGACGAAGAGCCGCTGCACGTCGGGGTTGGTCATTGCCTCGGACTCCTCGCTGAGCGCCAGCCATACCACGCTAATTTCCAACGTCTGATCACGCATCTGCTCCTCCGGCCCCAAGTTCGTCTCTACTGAACTACGCTCCTAACACGAGGAAAGTCAACATATCAAATTTTTGACAATTCATCTTCGTTCTTTGTTTTCCCACTTGCAAGCAAAATCTTTTGATTAAAAACAATTTTCAAAATCGGAGCACAGGGGGCGGAATTACGCAGCAACATATAAAAAAACTGACGATTTGACTACTTCCTTTTTTTGAAGTCGGCGTAAAAGCTATCAGGATTGTCGTTACTCTTAATTTTTCTACAGTTTAAAAATTGTTTGCATAGTGTGAAATATGAATGAATAACTAAATGTTAACTTACTCTGACGGGCACTTCAACCACCTCCACCTCATCACGCTCCACTCCGATAGTTACTGATTTCTTCTGTGCATGTCCGTCTGATGACTTTGGGGAGCCTACACTTTTACATGTTTTTTTTTTTATAATTTCTTAATAGCTTATTTAACTAGTGTCTTGAAACTTACGTACCTGCTCTCCAGTGTTTATTTTTTAGTAGACTATAGATCGTATTTGAATCAGAACCCTAAAAATTATTTTAAAGTGTACATTTTAAAAGATTTTGGTCTCAGAATCTCACGGTAAGACAATCTTATTCGAAACCTATCGTTATAAAGAATCGTAAACATGGATGCATAATAAACAAAACATGATAGGCTAACTCCTTTTTTCTGAAGGATCAGTTAAATTGGAGTTAGGAATAACTCACAACTAGAACCCGCAATTTGCTTGGCGGTCGGATTTCATTAGCGACCGCTTGCCGCACCTCCTGCGATGATCTTACTGTTAGTTGCTGCAATAATAATGTAAATAAATACGATTACAAGTTATAAATAATTGCAGATAATAAATAGTTACAGCACTAACCGTATTATTTGATAACAATCCGGGCAATGGCTGAAAGGAAATATCCTAATCAATTAGAAATATCCAAAAAAAATCATTAGAGATCAGAGAAATCATAACATTTTATTAATAGATAAATCGATGCGAGATTCTTCTTACTTTATTATTTTTGCTATTGCGCTGCATTTTGGCCTCCAGCTCACGTGTGAGGTGATACACGCTGCTCTGGTCCTCGCTCGCCGGCACAGACATGGTCGCTGCCTGCACAGAGATTTACATTGACAATGTTTTTAATGCTACTACTATAACAAGGCGTTGAGCCAAAAACCTGAAGACTTCATGCTTATACATTCTTCATACTGAAGGTTACAGCTGTAAGGGTTACCTTACTGGAGCCCTTGCGCAGCGCGGCGAGCAGGGCGGGGTCGAGGCGCAGCTGGCACCACACATCCAGCACGCCCGCCTCCTCGCCGGAGTCCAGCGCGTCCGTCACCACGCGGCTGCTCAGGATCTCCTCACCAGCCACCTGCCGCCACATTCACAGTGTGATATACAGGAGAAGAGAACAACATATACCTTTTTAAGACAATGTTGACTATGTAACTTATCAGACGAAATACAAAAGTACACATTCTTCTTCGCATCCTAATCTCTTAAGATGCTAATTTTCTGTGAGACGGGAATCCTGCAATAGCTGGGTACTGCAGATTCTACCTTTGTTGTGAATGTTTCTATATGTATTTTGTGTATATAGAAGCAGTAACCAGGGGCAGTGACATATCAGCGCGGCGGTTGGCGTGCAGCAGGGAATCGTGCAACGGCAGCGCGCAGCTCGCGAACACCTCTTCCATCTTGTTGGCCTCACAGATCTTCAGGTACATGTCCTCCTGCACACATATACATTGCTCCGAGCTATTGCCTTTTCACTCGCGTTTATAAAACGTGACAAGGACGAAGATTCAGAGAGGCGTCAATAATTGTTATTTGTTGGAGGTCGTTTACAAGAGCGGGACATTCGTAAATCAAAAAAATAAAGACATGATTATCTGATGTCAATGTTCATGCTCTTTGTTCTATTTTGTATTTGTTCGAATAGGACAAAGAATAGTTCTGTATATAATTTCAGCATTGCCATTTCACCTTTGCCTTCGTGGATCTGATTTTTGTACAATAAGATATTTTTAAACAACTTGGCAAATAACGATTGTTAATTGTGTTATAAAGTTTGCCTTTTTACAGGTCATTAAGACGTCGTTATCTTTTGTATAGGACTCTGTCGCTGCCAAAGTTCGGAATGCCACAATAACTGAATTAATACAATTAAATGAAAATGAGGCCAATTGCTCGAATTTACATATATTTATCACTTATTAATTAAAAAAAAAATTATAATGTAATGAAGATGTAAATGGAAGCTTTAAAATTAATCACATTATTTCTTACAAAGATATAAATTCCGTTATCTTTCCTTGAATCATTAAAGACCATTGTTAGCTTTGTAATCTACATATAAAAGGGAAATAATATCATTCCGTATTTTGAGAAGCTATGGAGGTCAAAGCCGTGTGCTTACATTTCTCATATACTCTAGAAAGTTTTCAGTGAAAGGGAGCTGGTACTCGGTGGTGAGGTCGAAGTGAGCGACGCGACCGGGCGGCACGCGCGCCAGTCCAGCACTCTGCTCGTAGAACCGCCACGTCAACAGTAACGATTTGCCGCGAGAGTGCAGCACAGCCTAGTACAGTCAACTAAAGCGATAACTGAAAGTTTACACTGTCGAAATACAAATACAAAAACATAACATAATGCTTCGTACAGTCAACTGCACATATATGTAGACATTACAAAACTTTAGAAACTTGTCTAGGCTGTCGATTTCAAAAATACTTCGTCAAGAACTTGTATCCAAAGATGGAAGCATTGGGACCAAGTCGTGCATACATATTTTCAAAACTTAATAATAAACGTACATATTAATGCAGCTGACTGTACAAGTGTCAGACATTAGAAATATACGGTAAGTGGTATCCCATGCATATAACTTAATGGCTTAAAATACCTTTGTCTGTTTTAAACTGATTTAAAATAGTCTTTAGTTCGAGTAATGCATACTTGGTCAGATAGTACTAGGGTACCGATGTGCAGCGTGAAGTGACAGATGTGTGAATGCGCGGCCACAATACGCGCCTGACCCTCCGCCCGCCGCAGCGCCAGCGCATCAGACGCGCCCTCCGTATTGCACGATATGTCTTTTGAACTTTTGCCCTGTTATTTTTAACTAAATTAGCCAGTTATTAGGTATTAGCCACCGCTGTCCATACGAGCAAAGGCTGAAGTTTCTCAAAATGGAATCGCTACGAAATCGACGCCGCACGAACGACCTTTTATTCTTGTTTAAAATTTTTAGGGGTCATATTAGCAGTAGCAACTTGGTTAGTCAAATAAAGTACAGTGTACCACTTAGACCACCCAGGCAACCAATAACCAATTTTATATACCCTTTTATAAATCAAACATAGGCCTTAACTCACCCATCCCACGGATATGTCGGACATATAACGAATTAAAAAGAGGAAAGGATATTACTGATATTTTCTGCACCTCCTTACGTAAGTACAAAAAACTAATTTCCACACCTCCAGAGGCACAGACCTAAATGTATTGTTAGATTATTATTATTTTTATTTTTTTGTTTTCTTTCCTTGGTTTGTTCATAGAATTTTTTTTTGTGTTTTATACTTGTTTGTTTTATATGAATGTTGTACACCTGTTATTGGATAAATGATCAGTTTTATTGTGTTGTATATTGTATTACTTTGGTAAATGTTGCATAATTTATCTGTTGTGTGTACTTGTCTAATAAATAAATAAATAAATATACTATCCAATACTCTGTACCTGTATTACACAGGCTTATTGTCATTTTAATGGTCACTTAAATTCAAATTATAAACCATTTCCTTGATAGTAAAAAGAAAGAAAGGTTGAGTCGGTCGAATAGTAATTTGAATCTCTTTGTTCTTTGTGGTCTGGTCGAAACGTTTAATTCTCAACAATTTTCTTCAAGCCTTTTACAATTTTCGTAAAAGTAGTCATCAAATGATATTTAAATGATTAATTTAACAGCAAACTTTGTAAACACAATTTTGTATTGACTACGTTCTCCATTACTATTTAACCTCGTAAGTACTTGCTAGTGATATTTGTGAAATAAAAAATACAAATGAGTTCAAATAATTTTATTTATCTAATATTTACATGAAACAATATACATTTATTGCACATACAATCCGGCCTCACGTGGGGTAGGCAGGGAGCGGGATACAACTAAGATACGATGTATCTAAGGGGTCAATGAGGTAAGGTGGTGTAGGTGGCGGAGGTGGTGTAGGTGGGGGTTCACCTGGGGGCGCTGTCGCTGCAGCAGCGCTCGGCAGCGCGCCAGCTCCTCCCCGATGGCTTGCAGGGCGTCCTCCACACGCTGCGATGTTGAAAATGGAGGCCTGCAATAGTACAATTAGTTAGTGCACCTAAAACAAGTATGAGTAGTCTTACTAATATAAAAACGAAAGTTAAGATGGATGGATGGATATTTGTAAGAAGGTATCTCCAGAACAGCACAACGGATCTTGATGAAATTTGACATAGATGTAAAACTTAGTCTGGAAGAATATATGCGCAGACAGATTCGCGGGGTACATCTTGTTCGAGTAATAAATTAAACACGCATACGATATTTCCCCGCTACTAGTCTTCCGCCTCCTCTCGCCCGGTGATAAAAGTTTTCTTCCTGGAAATATTTACGTAATTAATTCCTAATTTCTAATACAAAGTTAATGTGTTAAAAGGTGACGTAGAAGTGAGTATATAGTACAGTCAGCGTCATATAGATCGTCACAGACAAGATATGCAAATATATAGGTACATCAAAAGTAATCAATTATATCGGTACAACAAAAGTCCTCAAAATAATAGATACATTCACCCTGCTCA